AACCCCTTCTATCCTGTACAACCCCTTCGCCCCCAAAGTTCAATGTTATTGTAACCTGAAATGCGTTAGCCCCAATGGACGAAAAAAATCAAACCCCTAACATCACTTTTGCTAACGCGCGCGATGAAACATTGAGATTTGGGGGTGCGGGGGTTCAACATATTGCGTGCTGCAGGGTTTGAATATTTTGTCCATCTACTGTCTGGTTCTCTGATGTTTTCACATCTTTTGGTCTTCAAACTCTGTTGTGGAAACATCAATGTGCATGCTGCTGATCTTATTCCAAACTGCGCAAAACATTGGCTTTTCACAAGTAAATGCCTCCTGTCTGTCTCCCGTCCCATTTTTTTCTATTCCCTAATTCGCAACTTATTCCTAAGTGCACAAAACATTGTGTTTTCACAGGTAAGTGCAACCTTTGTGCCTCCCGTCCCATTTTTTCTATTCCCTAATTCGCAACTTATTCCAAACTGCAAAAAACATTGTGTTTTCACAGGTAAATGCTGCATGTGTCTCTCGTCCCATTTTTCCCTATTCCCTAATTCACAACTTATTTCAACATGCGCAAAACATTGTGTTTTCACTGCATGCCTCTCTCGTCCCATTTTTTCCTATTCCCTAATTCACGACTTATTCGTTTGACGTGGCCCTGCCAATGGATTTTGCAACTTGAACAGCATGAGACAGCTCCTAAGTAAAAAAGGAAATATTTTTCTCTTAAAAAGAAGCAGCACGTCACAAATGACATAATCCATTGGCAGGGCCACGTCAAACGAATAAGTCGTGAATTAGGGAATAGGAAAAAATGGGACAAGAGAGGCATGCACATCTACCTGTGAAAACACAATGTTTTGCGCATGTTGAAATAAGTTGTGAATTAGGGAATAGGGGAAAATGGGACGAGAGACACATGCAGCATTTACCTGTGAAAACACAATGTTTTTTGCAGTTTGGAATAAGTTGCGAATTAGGGAATAGAAAAAAATGGGACGGGAGGCACAAAAGTTGCACTTACCTGTGAAAACACAATGTTTTGTGCACTTAGGAATAAGTTGCGAATTAGGGAATAGAAAAAAAATGGGACGGGAGACAGACAGGAGGCATTTACTTGTGAAAAGCCAATGTTTTGCGCAGTTTGGAATAAGATCAGCAGCATGCACATTGATGTTTCCACAACAGAGTTTGGAGACCAAAAGATGTGAAAACATCAGAGAGCGAGACAGTACCAACGAGTTGGTACCGTAGGTGGACGAAATATTCAAACCCCTTCTATCCTGTACAACCCCTTCGCCCCCAAAGTTCAATGTTATTGTAACCTGAAATGCGTTAGCCCCAATGGACGAAAAAATCAAACCCCTAACATCACTTTTGCTAACGCGCGCGATGAAACATTGAGATTTGGGGGTGCGGGGGTTCAACATATTGCGTGCTGCAGGGTTTGAATATTTTGTCCATCTACTGTAGTTACTGGGGCGAATCTAAACCAACAAACATCACTGGGGGGCCTCATATTGCATGGTTGTTTCAATAAGATTTCATCTGGTTGGTGGTATACCTACCCCTCTGAAAAATCATGGAGTTCGTCAGTTGGGATCATGACATTCCCAATCTCTGGAAAATCATAAAATTCATGTTCCAACCCACCAACCAGTGATTACTAACCATCATTAACCATCATTATCCCATACTAAACCAATGTTCCAAACCATCAACCAGATAAGATTTCATGTTCATCCATGACGGATGATTTTGAGGGTACTACCATGACAAAACGGTAGTAATTTGGGATCATCACGAACTATTTGGGGGTTTCCATAAATGGTGGTACCCCAAAAATAGATTGTGTATAATATATATATATATAATGGGAAATCCCATTACCCTCTGGTCATTTAACATAGCTATTGAAAATGGCCATAGAAATAGTTGATTTACCTAAAAAAAATGGGAATTTTCTGATTTTCCATGGTTTTTTTTGTATGTTTACCAGGCCGGTTCAAATGGATGATGACTAGGGGTGCCCCCATGACTTGTTGGACCCATGGGAGATGATCAATGGATATCATGGAGCCCGTTTCGCGCCGCGTTTCGCGCCGCGTTAAGCGCCGGAAAGTCAGTTGGGATGATGACATTCCCACTAAAAACTTCATTATATGGGTATGGGTCAATACCTATAGATACATTTTTAGTGGGTTATTCACATCCATTTACCAGCTATGACTTGGGGTTCACAAAAGGTACCAGGGTTTTGACCCATCCCCATATAAAAACTATGGTAGATGATAACGGTACAAAAATGAAAATGGTACATGATCATGGTACATAATTGACCTATCTACCATTATCTACCTACCTATCTATTTATCTGCTGATCGATCCAGCAAGCGATCTATCTATCTACCGACTAACCTATCTGTCTACCTATTTACCAATGTAAAAAAAAAAAAAAACTACCCATCTACCTATCAAACTATCTCTATCGATCGATCTATCTATATCGAACGGTGTATATTCTGGTTGGTGGTATACCTACCCCTCTGAAAAATCATGGAGTTCGTCAGTTGGGATGATTATTCCATTCCCATAATATGATGGGAAAGTCATAAAGTTCCATGGTTCCAACCCACCTAAACCAGTGATTATTAACCATTATTAATCATTATTAAGCATGATTAAGCATTATTCAACCATGGTTGGTGGTTTCAACCCCTCTCAAAAATATGAAAGTCAGTTGGGACCATGACATTCCCAATATCTGGAAAAATAAAACATGTTCCAAACCACCAACCAGATATTTGTTGCTGCTGCTTGTTGTTTGCTGCTTGTATCCACGCTGCCAAGTCACCGGTTGCTTCAAGCGATGTGCAGCCAGCGCAGCAGCAGTTGAGAAGATCACGGTGCGCGTCTCCTGGGATTGAAAACGTTGTTGGGTTTATAAACTGCAAATTAAAAATACTTTTGGCCATTTATAGTGATTTCTATTGTGATTAGTAGTGATTAAATGGTGATGAATAGTGATTAATAATGGCTAATAGTGGCTAAACATGTGATTAATGATGGTTATAACTGGTTGTGAATCTATGGGACTATACATTCTATACTTGCAACTTGTAACTTATATTTCGGGCCATAAGTGTACCAATAATTGATTTATAACTCCATTAACTAGGATGTATATATAGTGGAGAGAGATATATATATATAGTTTCTATGGCTTATAAAGGGATAGAACAGCCGAATCCTACTAAAACGACTAAATGGAGGTTTCCTAAAATGAGGGTACCTCGAAATCATCCATTTTAGATTGTGATTTTCCATTATAAATCCTTCAGTTTAAGGGCTAGCTCCATTTTAGGAAAGCCCCAGATCATGGTAGAGGAAAAACTGCAGAGGTTTTTGTGGCTGTCAACATGGCAGGCAAGGACCAGTGACCATGACATGCCCGTGTTCATGAAGGATTGGAGGATTCTTCGCTCAGGTTACTTGGACATAAGTGGGTTACATACATGGCATGGTCACAGGCATAGCTATACACTTCTGGCCCGACATACCAGTTTTTTCTGTGAGTACCCCATTCAACCCCATAAGAATTGCCATGTATAACTGGTGGCTTTAACTATACCTGGACCATAGGCCTATCGTTATTCCAAACCATCCCCATAGCGTTCTCAGGAACTGAACGAGAACCTCGATACAATGGGGCCCAAAAGTGTCGAAGCATAAATCTGCACCGGTGAAAATGTCCATATTGATGTTCCTCTTGACTTTCACTTAAAAATGCTGTGACTCAGGGTATCTGCACATGTGTATATATATATATGTGCGTGTGTGTGTGTGTGTTCGTTTATTTTGTCTATATATATATTTATGTATGTATACATGTCATCATGTTTCAGTCCTTCCCACCAAAGCCACCACCCATTCGCTTCACTTTGCAAACGACCTGGCCGCCGTACCATGCCGTGCCATGCCGTGCCATGCCGTGCCATACCGTGCCAACTTATCAGCGTCAGCATGGAAGTTGCCAAGCACTACTCACTACTCAGTACTCTATAGAAACAAAATTGCATTATCGTTGTTTTCTTGCCAGAGAATATAAGGTATAACATTGATTAACATTGTATAACTACAAAACTTTGGTGACACCAATGTTAATTAATGCTAATTAATTACAATCATATAAATAATGATTTTACAGAGAAATTCTAGTTTGTTGATATTTATTGCTTAATGATGACTAATTCACACTGATTATATAACATTGCTTTTACTTCTTACTTGATTACAATGTGAGGCCCCCCAGTTATAAATACTATAAATCATAGTTATTGGATTTAAAAACCAACTTAGCTATCGAACGGGGCCTCACATTGTAGTAATAATAGTATTATATCCCTATAAATCTCTTGATGAACATTGGGGTGACAGCAAAATTCCAAAGCTCAAACACTCGCACCGAGTCGTGGCTAAAAAAAGCAACGCCGAAAGCTGCCGAAATCTGCCGCCATGATGATCATTCCATCCCTGACATATTCACAACATATTAATAAAACATAATCCCACTGCTCCATGTATGGTTAATATATGGTTAATATATGGTTAATATATGGTTAATATATGGTTAATATATGGTTAATATATGGTTAATATATGGTTAATATATGGTTGGGATATTGTGACTATGGTTAATATATGGTTAATATATGGTTAATATATGGTTAATATATGGTTAATATATGGTTAATATATGGTTAATATATGGTTAATATATGGTTAATATATGGTTAATATATGGTTAATATATATGGTTACTACTATGGTTAATATATCCCCCTGCTCCATGTATGGTATATGTGCCGACATTTACACCTTTTTTGTGACACAAATGTAGGTAAATATTCCAGCGCCATAGTTTGTATATGGGTAATATAACCCCACATTCATCCATCAACAACCATCATTTATGATGATTTCTGGATTCTCTCTCTATTCTTGCGGCTTCAATGCTTAAACTGCCTATGGTTTTCTCGCTCTGTGCTCTCCGGTGCCTTACTGCAAGGGATGCCACAGACATTGGCGGCAAACTTCTGGGTCTTGTTGGCGGTCTGACTCGACACGTGGACTGTGAGCCTGGGCGATAATTACCCGAAAAGATCCTGAGACCCACCGTACTAAGTGACTTTGTTGACATGTATTTGACATGTATTATATGGAGACGATTGCTAATATATACATGTGTATATATATATGTATACATACATATGATTACATATGTATATATGGACCGTATATGTATATATATATATACACATACATATAGGAAGTATCTCCTACTATTCCTTAGTTATATACCTTGAACTCCACTTGGACAGATCCACCGTTCGTTGACGAAGTCGCTCATCAGCTTCACCCGGAACGGCCAGGGCAGCATTGCATTCCAAGTAGAAATGCTCCTGGAGCACTGGGCACTGCAGTTATGGCCATGGCTATTAGTTTTAACTGGGATTATACATTCTATAGTGAAATAACTGGTGATTTCTATGGGATTATACACAAACATTGGAAAATAACTGATAAATGTAATTGTAACTGGTTCTAAATAGTGATGAAAATGGTGATTAATGGTGATTAATGATGATCAATAGTGATTATGATAATGGTTTTTATAGTTGCTAAACATGTTTTTTTCATGATGGTGAAATAACTGGTTATGATTTTATTGGACTATACATAAACCATGTTTACTGGGTTTTGTTCGTACTTATGACTGGACTCCACTAGCCAAAGCCTGTGGGGACATCACTGGGGATTAGCCTAGTTGGTGGTATACCTACCCCTCTGAAACATCATGGAGTTCGTCAGATTGGATCATCATCCCAGCTATTGGGGAAAATCAAAGTATGTTCCAAACCACCAACCAGTAGCTAAATTGCCTTAGAAAAGTGGTTGAATGCTATGGTTTATGGTAGATATAACTAGACTTAATGGATGTTAATGAGGTTCATACACCAACAATGTAGTCAATGGGAATTTCAGGATCCTAAAATGGAGGTACGTTAATACCATATAAGACCATATTTTCTGGGGATATTCCCTGAAATTTAGGCCTGAAAAATAGCCCTTATGATAGGTACCTCCAATCAATCGGTTCCTGAGTCATGGCCATTGATGTAGTATTGAAACATCTTGAAACCCATGGTGAGGACTGGGGACCATTGCCAAGTCACGTTTGAACTAATGACACTTCCATGTTAGTAGTCTTCAGTGGCTGCCCCTAAGATTCACTCAAAAACAACGGAACCATGGGATGCTGTAAACGAGAAAAACTGGTTGGTGGTTTTAGCCATCTTGAAAAATATGAGCTCGTCAATGGGAAGGATTATCCCATATATTATGGAAACTAAAACATGTTTGAAACCACCAACAATGGAACCATGGGATGCTGGAAACGAGAAACACATTCCATGCAAGTCTGGAACTGTGGCATCCAGGAGCAGGCTTTCCGAACCAGCATCAACGCGGGATTTTTGGTCTTCTGTTTGCCCATCAGCTCAAGAATGACATTGATCCAAAAAATAGGGTGCCAAAATAAGTATATACATATATACATATATATATATATACATCCACAGATATATATATATATATATATTATCATTTTCCCGCAAAAATACATTCTTGGACACATATAGGGCCAAAAAATGATGGAACAATTCACATGCTTTCACCGTACCGTGGAGTCTGATCAACCGAAGAATTTGGGGGTAGCCTATGTTCAGGAAGACCCTAAAATGGGGGTTCCTTAAAATGGGGGATCCACAAGTCACCATGGGTTTCGATACTAGTTCATGGTCTAATGACTTGGATGCTTTGGGGTACCCCTATTGTAGGAAACTTCCATTTATGCACAGGAATGTCAAGCGGCATGGATTGATACAGCGTGGCGTGGATTTGGTTCGGTCCAGAAAAACATCACAAGTCACAAAATACAACGCAATTAAACATGAGATATTCCCCACATAATATATATATATATATTAATCAACCAGGAGTTTATTGATCCCTGGGTAAACTTAAACATTGACGCCTTTCATTAAAACTTCTCAACCCGACAGGAAAAATACCAACAGCAAGGAAAAGAACACTGGAGCAGCAACATTCAACCACCAATAGTAACGACTAACCACTACTAACATGAAGCTACAATAAATACCATAGCTACAACAGTTTTTTTTTTAGTATGTTAGCAGCAACAGTTTAAAGCTACCGAACCGCTAACATAGCTACGGATCTAAACCTTGGTGTTCACGGATGTCCCATTTCATACTGGACACACAAAGAAATGTTTTGAGTCATCCCAATTTCACTTTTATCTACACTCCCCAATAAATAACATCAAATAAACGTGTAGATAAACATTGTTGATTGATAGTTTATGCAAATAAATTTGACATTAAAAAACAATTTATTGCCAGGATATGACCATTAAGTTGCTGAATCCTGGTCCTAAAGTAAAAAATCGAAAGTTCTTGTGAGTCAAACCCAGAAGGCACCCAAATAGTAACCAAAGTCATAGCTGATATCGCTGGATGTTGATTCATCAATTCTGGTCATTTTCATTGGTTTTTTCTCCGTAGATTTTGACATGTTTTGACTGTCTCAAGTCACTTCCCCACCACACTGCTTAGAACCAGCGGACACGAACTTCAGCGCCTGGCCACCCATACGAACTTCGCCTTCCACGATGACTGAGTCGGACCTGCGAGCGAAAAGATAAACAGAACATATATTGAACATATATGGACTATAGTATATATATATATGTGAAAACTATATTGTAAATATCTGGAAACTATCAACCATCTTCAAATATGTATACATATATATATACATATATATTATATGTATGGAACAGATATGGAAATTATATCAAACAAATAGATATAGATATGTATATATATATATAAATGTTCCGAACATATATGGGAAAATATATATATGGAACATAAATGGAACTTTACATATACATGAAAGCTATGTTGAAATTATATGAAGAATGTCTTCAAATATAAACATATATACATATATACATTAAAAGAGGGTGGTCGTGTAGATTTCCACTCAAGTATCGGACTGTGGAGAGGGGAAACGGGCTCATTGGTTGCCCAAACCCTTGATTAAAATTCAATTTCAACTGGTTGGTTGCAAGGGCTTAAATGATGCCAACCAATACATCAACCAAACTTGACATGGTGGTTTTACTTCCTTTTTTCGCACCATCCTGATGATTTTTGGGCACCCCCATGAACAAATGGAAGTTGTCCATGATTTTCTTCCCATGAGTTCTACCCACCTGCAACTACCTGCCACATCCTGCCAATTTCTTGCACATCTACCTGCCACTGGAGTTATCATTTTTGATACCCCATATACTCCATATGCTACCAGCCAATATCCCATGATCTTCCCAGTAATTCGAGGTGACACCCTTCAGAACTGGGACCCGGCTGCGGATCACTGATGACCGGGGATCCGCACTGGTTGAAGGCACTCTCGATGTCTCCATCCTGCTTAAAACAGGGAACAACTGCAGAAAACCTTGATGCGTATAATACTTAATACATAATATATAAATATGTATATAAATGAATAAACAAACATATATATATATATATACATCCATATCTATATACATATATATATATAAATATACATATGTATAATATGTCTGTGGTTAATGGATGTTGATGGTAAACCTTAAATCCTCCAAGAAGGTGGTGCCCAGTGAAATATTTCTTGGTTTATAAGCACCTTAACTACTTCGATACACACACATATATACTATATTAAAGTAATCTATATTATATTATCATATGTACAAATTATAATGTGTGTATGTATATATGTATATACACATATGTGTATATATATGTGTATATATATGTATATATATATGTATATATATATAAGTATATACATATATGTATGTATATATATACACATACACGTATGTATGTATGTATGTATGTATGTAGGTCTGTATGTAGGCATGTAGGCATGTAGGCATGTAGGTATGTAGGTATGTAGGTATGTAGGTATGTATATATGTATATATGTATGTATGTATGTATGTATATATGCATGTATGTATATATGTATATATGTATATATGTATATATGTATATATATATATATGTATATATGTATATATGTATATATGTATATATGTATATGTATATCTACCGTAAACGCAACAGTTTCTGATTTCTGTTTGCCAAGTTCGCGAGAAGGGTGGCCATGTTGGGGCAGTTTCAATTCTTATCATCCATTGGTGAATTCTGAAGGAATGTCTCATTCCATCAACCTCATTCCATACTACGCAAAGAAGTCGCAGATGGATATACATAATATATACATATATATTCATATAGTGTATGTTGCGCTCCCAAGTCTTCATTGTTCAACGATCATCATTCATTTCCCCTGTCAAGTTCATGGATTCAGGTATATTTCCCGATTGCCTAGTGAACAACCCCAAATTCATCATCTACCAAGTCGACCCACCATCATTTATCAGTTATTTGTAGTTATATTAAATAGCTATATCCAAAAATTAACCCCACATTCTGATGGTTTTCTTTAAAGCCCTATTAAATGAAGAAGGCATCAACCAACAGGAGATCGCAACCGATGTGACGAGACATCGAGGATCTACCGCAGCACCTCGATCTTCAGAACTTTGTCTTTGAAGCTCTTAACCTTGATCGCGTCCTGCAACATGAGGATCGACTAAGAGCTGGTTGGTGGTTTCAACCCCTCTGAAAAATATTATTCAGTCGGGATGATTATTCCCAATATATGGAAACTCATAAAATTCCATGGTTCCAAACCACCAACCAGAAGAGTCATTGGGGTGGTTTTTATGTACCCAAAGATGGATGGTTTGTGGAAAATCCTAGGATTTTGGATTTGGACGCCATTTACGCCATATATGGAGATGTCAAGCAGCCTGTTTGTGCTTCCATTTTTGACCCAAAATAATGGACGGGAATTCTAAGCAAATACCATGGGCAAATGGAAGGAAACTCGGGCTTTGAGCCCACTTGTTGGGTGGAACGTACTCCCATTGAACTAGGGAATCACAAAACATATTTGAAAACACAGAACGTTACTAAACCCAGCCTTAACGGCTGTATGTATATCTATACCTTTGAAATTGGCAACTTGGTCAAAGTTCCCATGACGAACTATGCAATAGATAAATCATAGATAAAGATCTGTTTACATATATATATATATGTATACACAGTGTATATACATATGTATATATATATATATAAATTATAAATTATTGAATGTATATATACATACATTTATTGTATATACATCTATTGTACATATAGTTATTCTATGTAATAATACATATATCTGTATACGTATGTACCATACATACAGTAATATCATCTTGCAACTTTCCGGCGCAGCAGTCTACAGTAATATCGGTGCACCTCAACAGTGATGATCGGCTCTAGGTCGGAGTATTGCACCTGGGACCGTTGCGGCCAGCATACCATGCCAACAATATTAGGGGCATTTTTTTCACAATGGGGTTGTCTGAAAATAGGGAAGCCTATAATAACAATTATAAATATGGGACAGGGCTATAACCCTATAAAATGTGGTTATTCCTATATTAATAGGAAACCCTATAACAATTATAACCACACTTAATGCTTTCATTGGTTTCTCATCTTCCCTATCAAAATGCAGACGGGCCTATAGCCCATTGACACACCCAGATCAAAGAATCCAAACAGGAGAAACCAGGAGAAATACCAAACAGACAAGTTGGTAATTATGATTAATAGATACATAAAACAGCAACACATTGCCAAACAACGCACACATGTGTATGTACATATTATGTATATACATATATATATATGCTCTATTTGCTGAACGTGTGGTCGGGTAAATCACAAAAGCCCAGGCTTTTGTAAAGCCACATATCTCCGGTTTTTGCAAGGCTCTTTGCGAAAATTGTTTCGGAACCAGAGAACCAAAAAGCAAATCAGTCATCAGTCCCTTTCAACAGTTTATAACAGGAAATGTTTAAATCATCTAATCATATCATATAATAGTTCACATCATATCTTGAAGAATTCTATGAACATCCCCTTTAACCAGGTCAGGTTTCATATGGTTTCATAAGCATAATTCAACAAACACTGTTGGATCAATGGATCCCGTGGTTTTTGAAGGTGTAAAAAACGGTAAAGATGTTTGATGGCTATAAAAAAAAAGCGGTAAAGACCATACAATGTGGAGCCCCCCAGTTATAAGTTGGTTTATAACCCCCATTAACTATAGGTGTAAGTATCATGAACCCAAACGTTATTGAAGTTATTTGCACCAACTTAGCTATCGTGTGGGGGGCCCCACATTGTATGGCATGCTCGATATCCATCTCCCAATGTTTGGTTGCTTAACTTCACTGAACTTCCGCTTTTGTTGGTAGAAAGAGTTTGCAACTGATGATGGGAAACTCACACTGTGTTTTGACCAATCCCAGATTTCTGAGCCATCAATCTCACATCATCTATCACTTGTACCCCCAACTTTACCAGCAAATTACGGGGATGACCCAAAGGATCCCTTTGATCTATGGCCAATCTATGATACCCAAGGTTCTCGCAATCCCATGCCGCACCTTCACGAGACGTGCCGCCTTCTCAGCTGCCTTCGCCGCAAGAAAACGTGCTGAGAGAAAACCGAGAAATGTGGTGATTTACATGGGTTTGTACAGTTGATATGATACTGCACAAATACTTTCCAAAAAAAAAACTGCTGTTTAGAACATCCGTTTGATTTGCAGAGAGGGCATCTGTGCTTGATAAACCATCATTTCTAGTGTATATATATACTGGCCATCAGAGACAATTTCTGGACCATCTAATATGGCAAATCATCCATACACATGGATTTCAACTGAGATTGGTTAAAAACCATCGGAAACAAAAAATGAACAACACTCACAATTTCGCCACGTCAAGTCATTGGATACCCCCTGTAGTTATAGATGGTGAATACTAAACATATCATTGCCAATCTTAGATACCCCGCAAAAATGACAAAATCTTTGCTGGTTAGTAGATATTCCCATCGATACCAAAAGACTAAAGGATTAGTTTGTATCCATCTAAGATTGACCTAGATATACTACAGTAAGCCATCTGTGGTCCCTTCTGCTTCAATTTTCACCATTCAACCACCATTAATTCCCAATCATCATGAAAAAACACAATCCGATTCCATTAAATCCTCATTAAATCTCATTAAATTGCACTAAGAAACAATGAAAAATCACCATTCAATCACCACTAAGATACAGTAAAATCCATTAAACCAACATGAAATCACCATCAAATCCTAGTAGGAAACAGTAAAATCCCATGAACATCACCACAAATCCCTATAAATCCCTATAAATCCCTATAAATCCCTATAAATCTCCATAAATCCCCATAAATCTCCATAAATCCCCAAATATCATATATCCCTATCGTAATCCCATGGACATCACCCGTTTTCACCTCCAAAGTCTCCGCCACCACAATGCCCAAGGCTTGGCCCGTAGAGGTCACCTCGCAGGCCCCCGGGCCCCCGTTCGTTATGTTTGTTGGTTAACAAAAGCCCCAGTAACTATAGGTTTATAAGTGGCTGAATAAACCATGGTTTATGGTAGATATAACAAACTAATTCATGCATGTTAATATAAATATATATATATATATATATATGTGGGGCCCCCGTTGGATAGCTAAGTTGGTGCGTTTATAACAAATTTCACTATGGTTTGTGGTATTAACCATAGTTACTGGGGCTTATTTGAACCAACTGAACGCTATCGACTGGGGGCCTCACATTGTATGAATAATGAGTATATTGGACCCCACATTGATGAATGGTGATGAAACCAGTGGTTTTTTAAATGGTGTATAGTGGCAAACAATGTATATATGAATTAGTTTTTTGGCCGCTAGAGCTGTGGATATTATCACATCATGGAGATATTGAATTATGATATAGATATATATGCATAATGGTAATGGTAAATATATATATATATAATTCAAGCTGTGTTATACAATAATGGTGATGATGGTATATATATATGTATATATATATGTACAGAATGGGGCTCCCAGTCGATAGCGTTCAGTTGCTTTATAAGTGGCTGACTTCTATGGTTTATGGTAGATATAGCGAAGTAGTTAATGGATGTTAATATATAATATATACATACAATGTGGGGCCCCCTAGATAAGTTGGTGCAAATAACTTTAATACCTAGGGCTTATGGTACTTATAACTTATAACTATAGTTAATGGTGTTTATAAACCAACTTATTTATAAGTACTGAAATAACGCCATTTATAGAGTGTATAACCCCATTTATAACCAGTTATAACGCATAAACCGTTATAATTGTATGAATAATGAATAAATTAAATCCACTGTGGAGTATATTCATACTATTAAATAGACTATTAAACTAAAACCATAGTATCTACTATGAATTATAAATAGTTATGGTTATATTTCATGGTTACATGGTGACATATAACCTCATGCCAAACTATATGTTATGTATTGTTATGCAACACTGTTCTTAGTGGAATATAGTTATTAACCTTATAAAAAAACATGGTAACAATATTGAATAACACTAAGATATACTAACATGGTGATGTAATGGTGATTGAATAAATGCTTAAGAATTGAGATGTTAACACTTAACTCGACTTGTATATTGCTGTATAATATGGTGATTTAATACATGGTTAACAATAATGTGATATATATTGCTGTATAATTGCTGTATCAATTCATCAAATCACCTTCAAGTGTTGGAGATATCACCAATGGTTGGGTGTGAAACATTAGGACATTGACCAACCCCGGGCCAATTTACACTCTGGTAAACTAACAGTTTGCTATTGAAAATGGCCCAGTCGAAATAGTGGATTTTCCCCTTAAAAATGGTGGATCTTTCCATAGTTATGTAAACGTCTACCAGAGGGTAAATCACCATTATATCCCAATAAACCATTATAAATCCCTAGAAATCCTCATGGTATCCTTATATATCCCCTATAAATCCCCTATAAATCACCATTTTTATTGGGAAAACTCGCGATTTCAATGGCCATTTGTGGGTGAGTGATCCCATCGCATTTTCTTCATCGCAGCATGCCCTAAACATCGGTGCCAAGAAATCGGTAGGTGCACCTCATCTGTACGGAAGAGCTGCTCGTCCTACACCAGGCATAGTATCAAATATGAAGGTTTCCAATCCATGAGGGTAGCCCAAAATGAATGGTTTGTAATGGAACATCCCCATCTAAAATGCTGAAATGGATGATAACTAGGGTAGCCCCATGAAAAAGGAAAGCTCCATATCTGTATTGAAGAACATAGTTCAGGCTTTTTATCTTCCAAATATCATCAATAGTGATGAAATATGATGAATTACCCTTTGGTTATTTAACATAGCCATGGACAATCATCATTTTTAATAGGTAAACCCAGGTAAACCATCTATAAATGGGCCATGTTCCATGGCTATGTTAAATAACCAGAGGGTAATTGTTCAACGTATTCTCCAAGTGCTGCACTGAATTTCTGAATCAGCAAATGCATTCCCATCTGGTTATTTAATATAGCCATGGTATAGATGGCCCATAGAAATAGATGGTTTACCTATGAAAAATGGTGGATCTTTCCATAGCTTTTTGTATGTTTACCAGAGGGTATAGTATATTACATTACTTCCCTATCATTACTATTGACAATTACCATGATAACTGACTATACCATTACCGCCCTATGATCATTTATTATGATCATTACCATTTACCCTCTGGTAAATTAACATAGACCCTGAAAATAGCCTAGTTTTAATGGAAACTAATCTTCCAAACCCTATCTGCCAGGGTCTATGTTAATTTACCAGAGAGTATCCCTTTTTTGGTGTATTTTCTTGTAAATCTTGGCATCACAAGCCAGCCCACGAAGCCCACCACTGCCCGGTCCACATAAGCTGGACCCCAAGCATTTTGCTTCTCGCCTTGGATTTCCCATGAAAACAGGAAGAAAAACATACAGAAACGATATCAAGAAGATTCAAGAAGTGGAGCAAGATCCTTTCATAGCTCCAAGATATGTCCTACATAATAAAATCCCAGTATATAAATCTCACTAAGAAACAATAAAATCAACATTCAATCACCATTAAGAACCAGGAAGCTACCATTAAATCACATTTCAATCACCAGAATTTCCTCATCCCACACCATCCCACCGTTCACAGTTTCTTCAGCAAAGCTGATGACATCGCCATGGCTGAGGTTCCAACTCAAGTCCTTTCCGGTGAAAACCTGACGGTCGCATTTAAATGTTGGCCAACAGCCATGAAAAACATTCAAATGTCATGATATCTCATGATATCTCATGATCTCATGATATCTCATGATATCTCATGATATCTCATGATATCAAACATAGGAATATATAGAAATCTTATGCAATCTATCTAATCTATCATATTTCTGAACAGAAACTCTTGAACCTCTTTCATCACATTTCCATGTCTTCCAACTTCGACCTTCGCCCCGACCTCGACAACTTTGGGATATTCCAATGCTGCCGAGATGTCGATGGACCTGTGGTTTCGTCCGAGCGATAGCGTTCAGTTGAGGTATGGATAAGTGGCTGAATTCAATGGTTTATGATACGCAAATAACTATAGTATTCATGGGGTTTATCAACTTATGGGGGGCCCACATTATGTGTTATGAAAAAGAATATATTGGGGAGATGATAACCATGGAGTTTATTTGGAGTGTGTATATTTCTATATATATATATAGAAACATGGTGTAAATTGGGGGGTATGGTAGCCATGGAATCTATCATGTTTGTAGCTTTTGGCCCACCCACGAAACGCAAAGCATCTGCAGACCAGAAGTGTGGGTAGGGCAATCTCCGATGTTCTTCATTTGCCAAGCAACTTCAAACAATGCCCAACACAAAGGCAAACTCTACCCTCTGGTACACTAACATAGCTATTGAAAATGGCAATTTTTAGTGAGTTTTCCCATTAAACATGGTGGTTTTCCATAGTTATGTTATTTTACCAGAGGGTAAACGTTCAAGCCATTTATGCTAGTGGCAAACAAAGAAAACATCCACTGGTCACTCTTTTCGCCAGGTGGTTAGACCTTCCTGCTACTGTGCCCTCGTGAAAAACGTTAAGACATTATGGTCCTGGGGTCCTGGGCACCACACAGGCTTGTTTCAGAGTTAGATATAGTTCTATGATATTCTATGCAGAAAACATAGGATTTAAATCACATTTCTAAATCAATGAAGGATCTACAAAAACCCAATCGTTGTACATGTTATTTGCTTTTTTTTCCAGTCATCCAATTCTGACATTTACCAGATCCAAAGGCTACGTCAGCAAGGCAGCTTCGCCCCATTTTCAGTGGGTATGGGCATGGCACCACCGCCGCATCAAGGCGCAAGCGAGACCGCCAGCGGCGTGGTCTGGGAATGAATTACCAAAACCTTCAAACCTGAGGTGGTGAATTCAGAAAATGGATAGTGTAGGAGGGAAATTGGGAAAGGTAGGATAGAACATCTGTGTATGTACATATATATATATATATTATATTATATATATACTTGTACAGACACATAAAAAGTGATGTGTATGTAGTTACATAACGTTACATACATAATTCATACCATGGCAGAGACAACACAGTTGTGGGATATTGACCAACATGATGTTTTGCTATACCCATCCAAATGGAACATTACATGCAACTGAAACCACCAACCCAAAATGCAAAGATTCAAATATGATGAATCTTGGTTCAGGGTGCTGTGCATTTGACAGCCACCCAAGAATTAGGTTCCGCGTTCACAGCCAGGCTTCCTTGAAGCTGTGTTGAGTATTTTTTTTATTGTGTTGCAACAATCACCATAGTTGATGGTTTGATTATGTGTGGTTGCCCTATTTCGCTGATTAAATTATACATATTGTTTCTCAATTCTTCTTAAATGTCTTAAATTACTGTACCGTTTGTGATGGTTCAATAAGTTTTTCGTCTGGAATGAGACATGACAAGGAACCCCAGCTGCTTTTCTGCGCACCATCCCCCCTTCGGTTTTCCTCATTGAGCGCCTGCCTGGCCGTGGATGACGAATTCTGTATAAATTAATGATTCTATATTGTATATGATTTGAATTCGTCTTACCATCTGGTTATGACTAACATAGCCATGGAAAGATCCACCATGTTTGATTCTATATTATATATGATTTGAATTCGTCTTAAATAATTTGATCAATGATGTATGACTGATTTAAAAAATGTCTCAATGATTCCATTCATGATTTCCAGAGGATGTATATTTGAAAAAACATTTACCCCCTTTATTATTTGTGACCCTGTAGGCGGCAAACATATTCCAGCACCATGGTTCGTATATGGGATGATTTCAGATTGGATCGACTGAAAAATACAACTCTTCTTGGGGATGGACGGGGGTTTCCGTCGAAAAAGGGGGATCCCCAGTCGTCACCGGTGTCCGTTTTGGAGTCCGGGACTTTGTAGTGCGCTGTTTTGATCTTTAGTAAGTTTTATGTATTGAATGTGGAACATGAGTCACTTCAAGCATCTGTTTATGTCTGTCTTGGTTTTGAGGCTTAGCAGTTGTAGAGCTATATATATATATAGGTATGTATTGCGGAAGAACTTTTGGCTTCAAGTCTTGTGTGTATACGGTACATATCCAAGTTTGCACATGAGGCAACAATAAACTACAAGGATCTGAAAGCAAACCCGTCAATCAGCTAGGAAAATTCGGCAGAAATGTGCTGCAATACAGCCGATTTTGCAATGCTATGAAATGTCGTATTGAGCCGATGACCGGCTGCGCCAGGCTCAAATGATAGGCTGGTGTTTGCTATGCTGCATGTCTTTATAGCAAGCATGAACAAGAGGAAACAACACTTTTGATTGACTTTCATAGATTTTGTCCCCAAGGGAGTACTGCATCTTCCTGACAGAGTTCCCTGCATCATAAAGAGATCTTGTAGTGTTTAAACTACAGAATCCAGAATCGCAGCACTAGAGAATCCACTATAAAACGACAATGATGACCATTCCAAATCCCAGGCAATCCTTTTGGAATGGGCGATGGAGTTACTTTGAAGGGACGGTAATTGATGCCAAATCCGCAAAAAGGCCATTGGATAGATATATATATATATTAATATACATATATAAGTGTAACTATATGTGATGATTGATTACAGCCGATGATCATGATGATCATGTAAATCGCTGGACATATCAGACTAAATCATCAGAATCCTTTAGAGTTGCCCCATTATCCCTGCATCCATCCATGAAAACTCTATGCCGAGCAAACATGTCCCATGATAGAAAACCATTGCGGTTGGTTAAATCGTCACAGTCCCAAATATATAATTCTCATAGAATCATAGAATTCGTCATATAATTGTGTCAGGTTGATAACAAGCTACTATATGAACCAAGACTATTTACGCCAACTATAACAACCAACTAAGACAATTAAGTGTAACGACCCACTATTCACAACCAACTACTAGCAAACTACAACAAAGTACCGACTAGCTGAACATCTACAACAACCAACTAAAAAGTGATCACATGTGGCTCAAAATTCAAGACTCAGGCGACCACAAGGGGACAACAGATCTTTTAGTTTACATGTATTCCTCAACCTTCCAGTCTTAGGGGTTCCCCAGTTTTTAACCATACCCATGTATTAATCATATTAGAACACTGAGGGTATAATGGCTAATTTGATGGCTACTTTTTTGTTAAAATTGTTTCAAGCCATGGTGAGACTTGGGGATAATCCACGACAAACAAGAACCCCCATGAAATTCCCAAGCGTTACACCTTTAAATCCCATTAAATCCCATTAAATCTCACTAAGAAACAATAAAGTCACCATTCAATCGCCATTAAGAACCAGCAAACTACCATTAAATCACCACTCAATCACCATTCAGAACCAGTAAAATCCATTAAACCAACATTCAATCACCATTAAATCACCATTCAATCACCAGTAAACCCTCATGGCTTGGCTAAGCCACCAGCCACCATTTTCGCCGAAAGGCGGCCGCGCCTTGGCCAGTTCCATTGCCAGCTTCCGTGTAGCGCTGGAGCAGCTGGCATGGGCGCCCAGTTCACGGCGCCGCCGGTGCCAGCAGAAATCCTGATCCGGATGGATTTCTATCTAAATCTCTATCCAATACATATGTATGTGTATATACATACACATATATGTGTATATAAGTATATATGTCTATATAGTAAATATATATATATATATGTACATATGTATATAAGTATATATATATATAGTACATACATAAGTACATATGTATATAAGTATATATATAGTATATATATATATATGTACATATGTATATAAGTATATATATATATAGTATATATATATATGTACATATGTATATAAGTATATATATATATATAAAAGTATGTATATATATATAAATAGATACACAGGTGCCAAGCTTCAGCTGACTCGTAAAATGTTCACCCAATAAACAGGGCAGAGGCACCCTACGGGTGCGGGTCCGAAAGTGGCAATAGTAATATGGTTATGAGTTACGAATAGTTTTTATACCCACTGCAGCTTAGTTATGCCCACATAATCCGGTATAAGGGTAAAACTATATTGAATATTGCTAAATTGCGGTGTCTGTGTATTTACTCTTGGATTCAGGTTGGAAAGAAACACAGCCCATCCTTCAGATAGTGGGAGAAATATTGGCGTTTGGGTTTGTCTCAAGTTGGGGATTCCACCAAAAAAACACATTTTGGCACAGGTTTGGGTGACAATTCAGATTGAACATGCTTACTTTTACAGGTTCATGGGTAAATTCATGATAAGAAACAAATGAGTAACACCACGTAAAACAATGGAAAGGGATAAATTTGGAGGTTGCACGGTGAGATCTTCAAAGAATTCGAAGCATATCGACTATCCAAATGTTTGACCCATCGGCATGGGTAAAATAGGTACAACTGATGTTACCAGCAATGCATCGCAACTGGGTTCAACATTGTCTTGCAGGAAAATGTAGTATTTACTATAGATACCCATAGATTAACTATCATAGATTATGATGGATGGTATGGGTTATTTTTCAGGACTGTCGTTCAGTTGCTCTTCAAAAATCATGTTCCCATGTTCCCATGTTCCCATGTTCCCCGGTTGTCTCCTTCCAGTTCTCCCAAGTGCTGCCCTTGTTGAAGGGACTCGCCATTGACCTCAAGACAGCGTTGGTGGAGAGTGACAGAGCAAGCTATAAGGATTACAAAGGGTGTGTAAGGTAGTACACATAGAACGTTGTATGGTGAATGTATAGCGTAGTACATGTATATGGTGGTCACTGCAGATATGTATGTATGTACGTATGTGTGTATTTAAATATCATTATATCTATATATATATATGTATATGTCATATGTATTTCTAAATATATATATATATATATACAATATAATATAATATTATATTATAACAAATAAATATTATATTTTATTATATTATATTAAATTATATTATATAGTATATTATATATTATATTATATATAATATAATATAATATTATATTAAATGAAATTATATTATATTGTATTATATATTATATTATATTATTATATTAAAAATACATTATATATTATATTATATATTATATTATATATTATATTATATATTATATTATATATCATATTATATATTATATTATATATTATATTATATATTATATTATATATCATATTATATATTATATTATATATTATATTGTATATTATATTATATATTATATTATATATTATATCAACTATTGAAAATATTATATATTAGATATTATATACTATATGTTATATATTACATATTATAAACTACATCAAATAAAAAAAAAAACTATATATTATATTATATACATATTATATATTATTATATTATATACAAATATTATATTAAATTATATTATACATATATTATATTATATTTATTTTATACATATATATATATATATGTATTAAACAAAATATGTTAATCTATATGTACTTGGCATCACTTCGCCTCTGCGCAGGCATCCACGCCTGTTGCCATAGGAATCAAAGACCCAGAAATGGCTGTAGCGCGTGCAGTTGATGTGCCTCAGAAGGATTCTGTACTTCCAGAATCATATACCACAGTCATGGGAAATGAAAAACGATCTAAGTCTGATTGAAAGCACCACAGTTGCTGTTGGCCTCTTCATTTCTGGAAAATAGGATACCAGGTGGTTAGACACAACTGCATCAGTACTGCATCGGCGCATGGACTACCAAATTTCATGGGATTGTCTTTGTTCAATCTCGTTGGTTTTTTGTGGAATTTACAAGAACCCCCAATGATAGTGTGGCAAGATTGTGGGAATGAAGGTCCCATATAGTCCCATCATTGGTGCTTTCTACAAATTCCACGGGAATCTGGGACTGGCGTTCCGATTTTCTCTCCAGTCTAGTTAAGTTCGGTTACAATATCAATTGGATTTCGCATTTTTTTTTCCCAAATTCTTTGCTGATTAGTGGTTTGGATTTTGCTAACACCGCCAACCAGACTTTTAGATATGTATGTATATATAGACAATATTCCCCTATCATTAATGAATATATGTTCCAAACTAATTATAATGTATTGATCAATCAAATTGTATATTGATAAATGAAGCTACAATATAATATCCTGATAGCATGTGCTTACTGTGTATGATATATGTCATATTTCCCCAGTCATTGGTTAATTTCCCGTTTCAATTGCTCAAAACCCGTTCATCTTTTGCGTTGCAGACTTCGCCGAATTGCTCGTTCACCGTCCAGTTCATGCCTCAAAAAGAGCTGAGACGACAATCACATCAATGCACGTTCACAGCGTTTTTTTTTTACACGGGGATGCTATGGAGATATTTCATGGGATAAAAATGGGTTTATATGGGGAAACCAGCCATACTGAGATTTCAATTTCTAGTTGTGTCAGGGAAATTCTACAGGAAATTCAAAGTGTTTCCCATCAAATATGGGAGGTTCCTGCTTTTTTCAACAAACTTCTGGGAACAATAATCACCTGGAATTGAAACATGAAACGTTTTGAATGATTGAGTGGTGAAGCAGTTTTTGGGGCTCTATACATCCATCTTTTTTGGCAATAAACAACTCTTTCGTTGCAAACCGTTATTGGGTCATGAGCCACATTGCTGGTGGTCTTGAAGTCTTCCACTCCCTGCTCCTTCCTGTTTCACAATTAAAACTGACAACTCCAGCAATAGCACAGCCAACCTTAAACAAATACTCTGCACAAGCATTATGCTTTGAGCTGGTTGGTAATACTATGTAGTGATATCCCCATTCATGCGGCAACGATTAGAACTGCCTTTCACCAAGCTTTACCAAGATACCAAGAGTGAACTTGAGAAAACTTGAGGAATCCTGGACCTTCTTGTGTATGACTTGCTTTGTGGGCAATGTGTAGGCACTCAGACTAGGCATAAATGTTTTTTATTTTTATTTTTTGGGACAACACATGAGAACATATAATAATATAACACTTTAAATTGCACCCAGCCATGGATCATGGATTTTACATGCGCCTGAAAGGTTGCTTTTTGGATATTAACCTGCAGTTTACGTGCAGGACAGCGGCTGATCATCAGGATCTGAGTCATCCAAAGATAGACGACCATCGGAACTGTGGCCATGTTTAAGATACTGACCTAAGTCATGGGCGATCCATGTCTCCTTCAGTGCCCTTTACCAGAAAAAAAACGTGGGGCTCCCACACGTTGCCGCGTTCAGTTGGTGCGTTTATAACTTCAATGACTATTGTATGGTTTATGAGATTTATAACTAATCGTTAATGGGGTTTTACAAACCAATATATAACTGGGACCCACATAGTATATGTTGTTATGGTTACACATAGGCTTATCATTCTATTTTTATTGGCTTATAACATGTTACAAATAGAATAGGCTTATCATTCTAATAAAAATGGGGTGACTTCACTGACGAACATGTTGGAACATGTTGGAACATAACTGGTTGGTGGTGCAATAACCATCTTCAAACATATTAGTCAATGGGAAGGATGACATCCCATATATTATGGAAAATAAAAGCCATGTTCCAAACCACCAACCAGATAATCCTGCCAGAGAATCATTAACAAAGTGGTTCAAATCCCCAGGATGACTTCCGGTGATTTCCGTGGTAACTTTAAGGGATAAGACTTGTTGGACTTTGGGATAACTGCTGCTTGGTGGATCTTCAAATATCATCCCTTTAAGGCGACTCGAACATTTAATATATATATATAATTATATATATACCATCTGGTTATTTAACATAGCCATGGAAAATCCCTCATAAATGGGGTTTTAATGGGAAAATAATCTATAAATGGGCCATTTTCCATGGCTATGTTAAATAACCAGATGGTATATATATCTGGTTGGTGGTTGACGAAAAAAAACAATGAAACATATAGTCAATTTTGCATTTTTCCCATAGATATGGTGAAAAATCTCTGAGCGGTGAATGCGGGATATGTTTAAAGCACCAACGAGTACCACTTCCGTGTCCAAGACCCTCCATTCTCAAAGATTACCTCTGACAGATGCAAGGATATTCCAAACCAATGACAAGAGCCTTGCCATTTCTATGCTGCATTTTTTCCGCTATGGGTTAAGTTTCATATAAAGTATATTCTAGTGAGCATGCTTATATCAAAAAAAACTGAGATCCCAACATCAATTTCCATGGTTGCAAACTGGGTCTGCTGGTTTGTTTAAGGCCATCCCAAGAATGCGTTGCAATGATCCCTTTTCAATAGGCTCATAGAATACACATATTTAACAATAAGCCTCTGATTTTTCGACACTGCTCAAGTGTTAACAGCTGCTTCATGTGGCTTTGAATTTTTTGGGTTACCGGCTAAGCGGCTAACCCACAATGATCCATCAAGATCCCACGGTTCATCCTTTTCCGGTCTTTAAAATGTTCCAAAGGATGGGTATTCCATGGTATACCGTCGACGTATATCCATGTTATCCCATGTTCAGAGTTCAGACACACCCATGTTTTGCATTAAAATGTCCATAACATTGATGGTTACCCATGGTCATAACTAACCACTATTGATCATCATTAACCACCATTAATCACACAATGTTTCGCATAGCCTGCATAGCCCACGATGGATCCCTCCAAGTCTAAGCCGTTTTTACGCCGCGCCGAGCGTCAAGTGCCATAAAGGGATACTGCATGGCAGCCGTCGGCAGATGAAGCGCCTCAGCGGAAACCGTGGAGTTTCCATGGCCCCAGAGGAGTTTACAGGGACTGTAACGGGTGGTTCAACAGGAAGAATTCCTATACTATTTCAAGCTTAAGTGAAGCGTTTGTTTTAAACAAATGTGGATAAAATCTGAAAATCAATAGATTGGATGTTTAACAGCTGAAAAATCATCCAGACTGGCAAGTTTGACATAGGACAACATTACGTTGACAGAATCTACAATGGCCAAGCAAGAATCAGTGGTTTGTCCGCTATTGTGAATCACATTCTTAGTAGCAAAACCAACTGGAACTTGACTCTTCACTTTTTGCCACCCGAAAATCTGCATCAAAAATGGCAAATCACCAAAAGAAGAACTGCATTCATGAAAAACACTTCATATGTTGCTTCTGGGCCGACCAGTTGAACGACCAGTTGAACTTCATAACTGAGGCCGCGGGCCATGTTGTAGGGAAACCAAAAGAACTGATCCATGTCCTTCCGAACAGGCGCTTCCCAACCACAAGAGACATGAAAAAGTGATGGCCATGGGAATTTCCGAGGCCGTTCCACTCCACAAAATGTTGCTCCTTAGAATTCACTCATCGCAAAATCTGACTCAGTATGTGCTAGCCGTAGACATTTCATGGTCCACCACAATCAAAAAACCTGTTCTTTTTTGCGCATTCTGCAAGGTTACAACCCCAACACCCCAGATCAAAAAATCTACGTCACTGCCGACAAAAAAAATCACAGTCGCTTCACCCCCATCCCCGGGCCATGGCTCCTGTGGCATCCCCACGGGCCTTGGAACGAAAATTGTCTGAGGGGTTTTCTCCGGTTCGGAAGACCTCTGGCTTAAGCGTGAGATGACCAATTTCGGAAAGTCTACACAAAAATGGCCAGAGTTATACCAGTTATAACTACTAACAAAACCCCATTTATAGAATGAATAATCCCAGATATAACCAGTTATACCCATCATCAATCACATGTTTATCCACTATTAACCAGCCATAACTAACCACTATTGATCATCATTAATCACCATTGATCACTATAGAAATCACCAGTTAATAGCCATGGCATGGCCATCACTGTGACTCACTCCGACTCACTGCGACTCTTAGCCCCGTTGGGACGCCGCACCGGTAGGCCACAACGACCTGCTGATCTGGCTTGGTTTGAAGAATGTGGTGCCCCCGTTCGAGCTCGCGTTCAGTTGAAAGATCAGTGGCTCCAACTTACAGTTGGGGGGCCCCACATTGAACATGTTGGGGGAGAAAAAACAACGAATTCCTAGAGGTTAATGTTCAAACATTCAAACACATTCTGAAGAACAAGAGCTAATGTTTTTCGAACAATTTTGTTAAGAGGCAAATGGCCATTGTTCTTATTAAATCAATGGCCATTTCAGGAACCTATATAGATATCCCCACAAAATATGGTCTTATATGGTACAGTACCTCCATCAATTGGATCCTGAAGATCTCCCACTGATTTTTCAGTAACCAATCTTGGGGGATATTTCATCTATCTTCAGACACACTGTTGATTCATATTTCCGGTGGATAGATGTGTTAGGAATCGAGCGAGCTACAGTGGATAGATCACGTCAGAATCCGATCGTTTGATTGACAGCACGCGATCTTAAAAAAAAGAACTTCTGTCACAACTAGCGGCTACCATGTTTCTCGACTTGGGTATTTTGCGTATAATCATGTACATTTATTTACATTATGTGTTGTAGATAAATTACATTTATGACTGAGAATTCAAGAATCAACCAATTGATGCATGATGTTGAATATAGAAACTGCAGTGGAATTTAAGGCTACGCCAATGTTACAAAATGACAATATAACCAGTGCATGGGTCTAGTCTATTCTTTTTCCTAGTCACTTCGCCTAGAAAAAAACAATATGATAATTTGATAAACCAACTCATCAAGAACAAAATTGGCCCTTTTCTTTCCTCCAAACAACACATGTTTTTCGCAAAGCAACTTTCGCGGGCTCTCGTGTTGTAACACTGGCGGCCTTTGTGAACAATCCCGGCAAGGACTTTTAAATATTATACCGTATTAGTTATATAGATATGGAACTACCTATAATCATGAAACTCATTCTATATCTGTATAATAATAATTATATAATAGTATCACTATTCAAACTAACTAAATAAATAAATAAAATCTTTAATCTGTTAGGACCAACTAACCTATCCAGTTGCTTGACGAATCATGCTCAGCTCCCCGGGGCTCTCTAGGGCTCCACACGCACATGGCCAGGAAACAGAGCTGTGTGCAGGGCTCTATGGTGGCCAACAGCAGAAAACTGCGATGGTTTCCTCTGCCTGGGACAAAATCCGCATGGCTGAGAAATCCAGGATTTTTATGCGGCTTGCAAAGTAGTCATGGGGATACCCCAAGCGAGCTTAGGATGGTTTATTTCATGGAAAATCCTTTAAAAATGGGATGATAACTAGGGGTACCACCATTTTAGGAAACCTTCAAATGGAGGTTTAAGTGGGAACATCATCGAAATGTTGAATTGCCAAGTTTGATTACCGGCTGGTAACCTTTCCAAATGGTTTGGTACATAAATTGGAAGATACCCATACTCAGAATCTCTGGGCAGACAACTTCACATTGCAATTTCTTGGAACATACGGTCTTCCAAAAGAAGTCTAGACCATCCTTGACCAGGATTACAGGGGATCAAATACCCTCTGACATAGCTATGAAAATTGCCACTTATAAATTTATAGTGAGTTTTCCCGATAATAACATGGTGATCTTCCATAGCAAACTGTTAGTCATAACCAGATGGTATGTCAAAACCATATGGACTGAAGAAGACGAGTAGCGGCTAGCGTGTGACATCGGATTGCTGAGGTTGAACACAGGGTTGATTCAGCTGAAGCAAAGAATGAGGACAGACAGATGTCGGATACATTTTTTCACTCAAAACAAACAACAATATTCAACAGACAGGTTGGATGCATATGTTGATAATTGGTGAGTATTGCTGATATATGTTGATATCAACATATATCAACAATATTCACCCGTTATCAACATATGCAAACTCTGCCATCCATTGATATAATTACAGTCATCAAACCCTGGCAAAACCCTGGCACCTATGGCGCAGCCGGTGAAGTTGCAGAAATGATCAAACTCCTTCCATTTCATATCTCAACGCAGCACTTGGACAAGATGAAGTAACTAACGATAGGCAGAGATTTGCCAGAAAAGAATGGCGGGTTGACCTCCACACTAAATGCAATACAACCACGTCCGGATTGGGATAAGTGAGTATTGATTTAAACGAACGAGTCCCCGAACTGTGCTCATGCTATTTGCATGGTGTTTGACCAGTGGTCGTCGTCATCGTCGTCCTCCACCTCCTCCTCCTCCTCATCATCATCACCATCATCATCACCATCATCATCATCACCATCATCATCATCAACATCATCATCATCATGATCATGCTCCTCCTCCTCATCATCATCATCATCAACATCATCATCATCATCATGATCATGCTTCTCCTCATCATCATCATCATCATAGACATGATTGAACATAGGAAGTATTAATGTTTGAAAGCACCCACTAGCAATATCTGGCAAATAAGACTGTTTGCAATGGGATTAGTGATCCTAAATGTCAAGCATTGAAGTGGTTAGGCCGGGTGGTCGGTTAGCAAATCGCCCGCAGCTTACAATTTCAAAACAAAAAAACAACTCTCAATCAAACATCTCGAAAAATGCAAGCCTTACATTGATGATTTCAATTGATTTCATCAACTGTGGCAATTTTATCGAGGAATCTCCCTTCCACCCTGGGACCCTGGTCCTGGATACAAGCACCCGTCCTTGGCCACCGGATCTAGCATGGTCTATCTAGAATGGCCGATCTCTCTGTAGTTTATCTGATTGGTGGTTTCAACCCCTCTGAAAAAATTGAAAGTCAATTGGGATGATTATTCACAATATATGGAAAAATAAAAAATGTTCCAAACCACCAACCAGTTATGATCGGGGAGCATGATGATAATCTACGGGATTTTGATGTAGCCCATTTTTTTTGACAATCCCAACACATATTTTGCCTTGGGCTCAAAGTACCCATGTGCCTTCTGTTAGTTTATGTACCTTTGCCGCAATCAACTCGCTGAAGATAGGCAATGATTACGGGGCATACGTACTTCAAGATATGAGGCATACAGTGGCAAAAGAAAAACAATAGACAAACAATATTTTTCATTTGAAAAAAAACTGAACTTGCTCTGGATTTACCATCCTTCCAGATAGGGTGGCCCGCATGTCCATCTGAATCATCTGAGTTTTCCCAAATATATGGAGGTGTCCAATCCATGGGGGTACCCCATATGCTCCATGTATAGAATATTTACCAGCATTGGCCCTAAAAATCACCAAAATGCAGGTAAATATACCATACATGGAGCATATGGGTACCCCTCCATTCTTCGGATCCATGAAATCAACCACCGGGAGAATTCCCTGCCGCGCAACATGACGTCGAACTTGGTTCTCAGGTCCTGCATCCACCCCGCGGGCCGCTGGGCAATCCCCGAACCGGGCGGTTTAGCCGAGCGATGACCAAAGGGTAAACACATGTAAACACCAGCAACCCAGCCATGGAGCGGTTGGAATTCCAATTTGCAAATCTCAGAATCACCTTGAAAACTTTGTCATTTGGGGGATGGTTTCCGCAATTTTCCTAACATTTCTCTACATTTCTAAGGTTTGGTCGTTGTATTTTGTGTTTGTTGTCGTCTATATCCAAAGCCATCCGAATCATTGTTGCCCGTGTTCTGGTCGGTTGTAAAGATCGGGATATCATCATATCATCATACTATTCCCGTTGACAATATCCCACTATTACATGCTAAAACTGTGCTATCCACTTCAGTCCCACTGGTTGCTAGGCCTGATATGGCCTGCTATGAACACGCTGCGTGACGAGAAAATCGAACGTCCTTCAACAACCAGGTGGTGGTGCAAAGCCGCCCGGCCTTGCAAGAGCTGTGAAGCTGCTGGGCCCGGGATAGGATGGGATACTTGGAGGATCATCACGGATCGGAAGTGGTTGAAAACCATAGTTATATCTTACAGGCGGGAAAACCCACAAATGGGGGACTTATTAATCAGGGTTACGAAGCAGTTGCTAATTGGATCTAATTGGAATGATTTTCCAAGTAACTCAAGCTATATCAGTTGCTTGAAAAAACAAAACAAATCACCTCAATGGCATCATCACATAGGGCTGGAATCCGCTTGGGAAATCCCACTAATCAACATCCAAGCTTATAGATGACTGGGATTTACGCTGGGTATTCTTGCAGGATGGGTAAAACAAAACCAAATGAAAACTAGGAGGTTCCTCTTTGTAGTTTTCCCAAACAACCGAAAGTAAAGTTTCGGCCAGGCGCTGTGTGTTGCCCGCAAGGTTCAAATGGCGTTTAAACATGTCTAAACTTTATCCTTCAACATGCTCAAACACCTGCGCAGCGCCAGTGTTTTGAGATTTCCCAGACAACGAACCCTAAACCCTAAAACCCTGAACCATCCTAAACCCTAAAACCCCAAACCCTAAAATCCCAAACCCTAAAACCCTAATCCCTAAAACCTAGGCCCTGAAAACTTTGAATCCTAAACTGGAAAACACTGCGTATATGCAGTATTTTCTGCAATCTCTCCTATCATATATTCGACAGCACGACATTCTCAATGTTGATGTCTGGGCAACACACGGCGTCTGTGGGTAAAGTTTGGATGGGTTGCAAAAACCTATTTCTTTCTTCATTGGTCCTTTTGCATCACCAGCCACCATGCCCATGCCATGACTGCGTCCACTGGGTTTGCCGTGCATCTACTGAGTAGCCTTGACGCAAGAGGCCTGGAAAAAATCGTCGTCCAAGTGCTGGACGGCCATCCAGATTTTTTTCAGTGCAATTAGATACGTGTGTGTCTGCCAATAGGGTATACCATCGGGTATACCGGGGCATAATAGCAATTTCCGTAGGGAAAATCATGATGAACCACTGGATGGAAGGGGGTAATCTAGTTTCAAAGAAACCCAGCAGCGGTTTTGTTCAGGAATGGGGATCTGACCATCATCCACTAGGTTTGAACTAGTCAATTGTGGATATGATATGTTGTCTGGTTGGTGGTTTTAACAACCTTGAAAAATATGAAAGTCAATGGGAAGGATTATCCCATATATTATGGAAAATGATTGAAACCACCAACCAGTTATATGTTGTTCGTACAAAAACACTGTAGACCGTAGACCCCAACATCGCAATTGAAATGGACAAATATTTACTGATTTAGGGCGTCCCATTTTCATAAAATCGAATTGATATTCACATACCCTCTGGTAAACTAACATAACTATGGAAAATAACTTTTTTTTAAAAGTAAATCAACTATAAATGGTCCATTTTCAATAGCTATGTTAAATTACCAGAAGGTATATTCACAAACATCATGTTCTGGCCATCTTACTTACATCCACAATTTTCGTTGGGTACCCCGAGCAATCCTTCATTTCGACCCCATGCCATATTGTAACCTTGAAATTCATGAAACGCGAATGCATATCCATGGAAATACATGTTGAAATATACTGAATGTATATAACTAAATACTTGTATATATATATATATTTATATGTACATATACGCATATCTACAAATACCTGGTACAACCTGAGATTGGAAATATCATTACGACAAACCACGAAAACTGAAATTGTTCCATTTCTCAATTTCTTAATTTTTCACTTGACAACAATTCCCAAACGATTATTTGTACTCCTGAGCCTTTTTCCCACTCCAGAACGCTATTGAACGCTTTCGAGTGCTTTTCGAACGCTTTTCGATTTTTTTTGAACGGTTTTTGAACAGCTCTTTCACTCTTGAACATCCGAGCTGTCCCGAACAGTATAAATATAATTCCGGTCTGTTTTTTTTGGGAATAATATTTCCACTCAGGACGTACAAGGTATATATATATATATGTATATACACATACACATACTGTATATATCTGTATATTATATACATAGAGTATTTTACAGTTATACAATAAGCTACAACCAAAATTTAGGTTCATGGAGAGTAGTGTTCGAGCGGTCTCTATTTTTTTGAAGTTGAGCTGGGGCTTGGAAAACGATAATACACTCTTCAAAAAACGATAGCATTTACTTATATATACCAAAACCTGAAAAACGATAATACACTCTTCAAAAAGTGATGACTTGGAGCTATATACCAAGATATTATATTATAATCATATGTGTATATTATATGTTCGACATATCACATATTTACGTGAATGTATGTAAAACATGGAAACGAAACAACCGAGACTCCGCCGCAACCGCATGATGAGCCTAGGTAGGATTCAAGTCCAGGAGTCCTGCCGGGCAAGACGTGTACCTGGCGGGTGCGCATCTCACCGTTGAATTCTGTGAAGTTTTTTTTTCCTGGGGGAGTATTGATGCAAATACGGTTTACATGCGTGTATACTCATACAAAAAATAGATGGTTTATGATGTATAATGATTATTCACAGTGATATGTTTGCTTGAAAAACAACAAGGTCTACATTGCAAAAAAAAACATATATCATCATATATCTATGTTAAAAAATAGTAACAATATGATGCTGATGCACATATGTCATTCCATGAAAACATGTCATTTAAAGGATGTTACAGTCAAAACGACATCCAAATCATCCCGGTTGTATTGGGATCAGCAAATCATACCATCAGGGATGCTCATTATCCAACCACACAAAAAGGGGTCAGTCTTGTCAGTTCGCTGCCTGCTGGCACCCAAGGAATAAAATCCTGTTCTCCTAATATCGCCCAAAATCCTGGTACTGAATCATACTGAATCTGATAAGTTTAAGATTCTAACATTAGTGGGATTTGGTTATCGTGGGATCTGGTTAGACGAAATGAAGATTGGCTCAGATTGGGTGGGATGTGGGAATGGTGTTCTACCCGCTTCCTCTGATGAGAACAGCAGTACACACCACTCACATGTGTTTCTATGGGCCCAAGAATTTTCCAAACCCATATTTTTGTGTGTTTTGTGGTTTCAAACTGATTCGCAAGGGGAATAGCATCTTCTTTTTGCAGGCAAAATGGTGAACAAGTATTGGTGCAATCTATTTTTTTCTGGTGAGGACGAAACGGTTGCTGGCTGATATGAACTTTTTGCCTGGCTATATTGAATCCCAATCTTTGTTTTTTGCGAAACGCAGTTTTTTGACGGTTAAACAAAATCCTAACTTGTTTAACATCCAACCGCGATTGCATGCAGCACCACCCAAAAAATACTTTACTTTGAGTGATCCCCACCCTGGCAAATTCCTGTGACATAGTTTCTGACATACCATCTGGCTTTACATATGGCTTAGGAAGTAGTTCTATCACAAAATTTAGTCTCTTCTTTAGACCCTATATCCTGGGTATATGGGGACGGTTATTTGACAGTTGGCGGGCGACAATTTGACAATTATTTGACACTTATGTAGCACTTATTTGACAACTATTTGACATCCTTAATTGACAGTTATTTTGACAGTTATTTGACAGTTAGCGGGCGTCAATTTGACAGTTGTTTGACAGTCAACGGAAGTCAGTTTGGACGCTGTGAGTGGTGGATTTGGACATAGTTTAAGGCCACATTTGAGCAAATTTGGATGCAGTCATTGCGCACATTGCTCAAAGTTTGCCAAATTTGGGCAATTTTTTTGGACATTCAGTGTCCAAAAAGGTCAAAAACCTAGTCTTTTGGTCTGGAGAAGTAGTGTCAAAAACCCTCCTCCCCAAGCTATCGAACTATTTGACACCGCTTTTGTGGGTAGTGTTTTGGGCAATTTCTTGACACTTTCCAATGTCCAAAAAACTAGTTGTTTGCCACTTGCTAATGTCCAAAAAACATGTTGATCAAAAGAAGGTCCAAGCAATGTCCAAACCTTTTGTACAATAAATGGCCGAACTTCTCCCCAGAAGAACCGCAAACAAGTTTTCAAACATTGCCTGGAGAATGTCCAAAAAACTACCCCAATATAATGTCCAAAAAACTCACCAGTAATGTCCAAAAAACTCCAAAGAAAACGTGTTAGAGCATAGCAAATCAAACAACAAGTCGCTTCGCAGCGGCAAACGCAAACCACCGATCGAAAAAACGGCAAAACACAGAAGTGAAGCCACGCTAGATTTAACCGTCCCTCCCAATTGTGATCAAAGGACAGGTCAAGACATATCTTACTCAGCTCAGACCAGACTTGGGCCTAGTCTCTTGAGACAGTTCAATGAATTGCTCGACACTATGAGGGCGAGCTGCTGGATCTCTGGCTAACAATAGTCAGGCAAGTTTAAAATTATACTCAAGAAGCCGAATTATGAACAACCTTACAATGTAATGGAGTTTTTTTACAACAGCAAAACTCGAGCCCCGGCCCGTCACCTCCTCATGCTCTGGAAGAACTGGATTGGTAAAGGTGGCACCCCTCTGCGTCTTCCGCATCGTCCCTGATTTTGGCTAAAGCAGGGCAGTTTTCGCGCTCTTGGAGGTAGAGCTTTTTCTCGCCCACCTTCTTGACCTTGAGGTTCCGCTTCGGGTTCCTCTTCTCCTCCCTTTTCGCGGCCTTGTACTCCGCATAAGAAACTTCTTTCAGTGGTGGAGCCTCCGTTCTTGGCGCTTGCAGAGCCTTGCGAAGTGCCAGCTTACTCGCATTTTGCGTCTTGGTAGACGTGTTTTTGGCGCGACGGCGCTTCTTCATTGCTAACTTTTTAACGGCTTAGGTGTTTCCATGACACACGGTCAGGTGGAGTGCGCTGCGTTAGCCCTTGATCAAGAAAAAAGGCTGCGGTGATGCAAGAATCATCGCGTGTCCTCACCCAGAATCGGACCCCTGAACACAGGGTCAGGACGCTCTAATTCTACCAGCCAAGCTAGGCTGTTCCTGAGACATTGGGCATTTCAAATTTTGGCAACCTGTTGCAGCCGTGTGATATATGCATCTAGTATGCGCCTAGTACATGTACATATGTGCAGTGCGTGTGTGTACGCATGCATGCGCGCATTACACACACATGTAATGTACACAAGCCTATGCATGTTGGCGTAAGCATGCCAAAACGTAGCACAAAACACAATGCCATACCATGTAGACTGTCTTACAAGAGAATTTATTGGGATGCAGCCTCAAATTTATGTGGTGGAACTCATTGGAGCAGGCTGGGAAAATAATCCGGGCAGAGGAAGCCTCCTGCCCAGATTAGAAACAAATTTTCACGGCATTGATATGTTGGGGTCATGGGGTGTGTATTCAAAAAAATCATCAATAATGTCTACATCTTACATACCGTACACAAGTACTATACATGCACTCATGTTAAAGCGGCCTCCCGATCTTTACTTAGGGATAGCCGACGCGTTAACCCAGCTGCTCTGCTGTCATCAGTTCCCTTCCCGTAACTGGTTGGCCACAAGGCGAATTAATTACTCAGCACTGGCATGGCTCTACTTCCCCAAGGCCCCACTCCCGGCCAACTGGGTGAGCCCAGCAGATGCAGAAGGCCGCTGAGCGGCGGCAGCAGCAACAACAACAACAGCAACACCAACAAGAACAACAACAGCAGCAACAGCAACAGCATGCAACAGCGACAGCAACAGCAACAGCGACAGCAACAACAACAACAACAACAACAACAACACAGGGCGCGATATCGTATGCTATCTCTGCGGTATCTCTCCTCCTCGTCCACGTTCATCGTTGTCTTCATCCTGCCAAAATGGAAAAGGCAGTATGCGAAAAGCTGGCAGAATGGGATAAACAAAAACGCACCGCGCAGGCAGAGGACAGCAGGTACAAAAGTTTTTTGGGGCTTGAGCCAAAGCACGAGAGTTTTTTGCACATCAGGAAATAAAGTGGCTGTGGAATTGGTTTCACCCCCTCATCCCACATCGGTGATCATACTTTTGGATCACACTGGAATCAAGAAACTAAGAAACTTGCGGCGTCTCCAGGATTCTTTTGTAGTTTTACCCTCTAGAACGAACCAGGGAAGCTGGAACATGGCTTCCCCGAAGACTATTGGATGATTTTTGCTGTTGGATATGGAGAAAGAGGAAGAAGGAATGAGTCACACCTTTCATTAAAATCTGTTCAAGTTGCAAAATCCATCGGCAAGGCCACGTCAAACGAATAAGTCGTGAATTAGGGAATAGGAAAACATGGGACGAGAGAGGCATGCACATCTACCTGTGAAAACACAATGTTTTGCGCATGTTGGAATAAGTTGTGAATTAGGAAATGGGAAAAAATGGGACGAGAGAGGCATGCACATCTACCTGTGAAAACACAATGTTTAGCGCATGTTGGAATAAGTTGTGAATTAGGGAATGGGAAAAAATGGGACGGGACGAGAGACACATGCCCTGAGAATCGATGTCGGCATATAGATCAAAAATAGCAATGTAGTCAAAATACGGCTACATCTACGTTAACGCTTGATTTTGGTGACATTTGTCGGAATCTGTCATAAATCCACCGGATTTTGTCGGAAATTGATGAAAACACGCAGACATTCTTTGGTTTCGAAGATGCGCATGCGAGTTGATCATGGCCATGTAGTGCAAAATCGTGACAAATCGTGACGAATCATCTTTTTGCCACTTAAAATTATGACATTTGTCGAAAATACCGTGACAAAACGTGATGAACCGTGATCTCTCAGGATTGACCCCTCATCTTATATCAGCCCCTGTTACTTTTCGCTCGTGCTCACCGCATTTTACAGTAAAATTATGGTTTCCGCAAATGTTGCCAAATTTTGACTACGGACGTCAAATAATGCATGCGGACGTCAAAAAACAAGGTTTACCGCAAATGTCAGCAAATAGACCCAGCACTTGATTCACAGGGATGCAGCATTTACCTGTGAAAACACACTGTTTTTTGCAGTTTGGAATAAGTTGCGAATTAGGGAAAAGAAAAAAATGGGACGGGAGACAGACAGGAGGCATTTACTTGTGAAAAGCCAATGTTTTGCGCAGTTTGGAAGAAGATCAGCAGCATGCACATTGATGTTTTCACAACAGAGTTTGGAGACCAAAAGTTGTGAAAACATCAGAGAACGAGACAGTATATAGATGAACAAAATATTCAAACCCTGCAGCACGCACTATGTTGAACCCCCCAACCCCCAAATCTCAATGTTTCAGCGCGCGTGTTAGCAAAAGTGATGTTAGGGGTTTGATTTTTTTCGTCCATTGGGGCTAACGCACTTCAGGTTACAATAGCATTGAACTTTGGGGGCGAGGGGGTTGTACCGGATAGAAGGGTTTGAATATTTCGTCCATCTACGGTAGTAAACTCCAAAACTTTTTTTTAGGTGTTCACTCAAAAATGTCCGGGCACTATCTCCAGCAATCCCAAAATGATCCAGAGATCATCCATCTGATGGCTTATATCCAGTGATGCGGTAAGTCCAATTAGAAAAACAATCCCAGAAATCATCCCCAAATCAATGATTAAAACCTAAAAAAAGGAATTATAAACCCTAAATATCAACTGTATATCATTATCATTCATTGTCCCTTAACCCGAAACCGTATCAAATCACCAAATGGTAGGCTGGCAGCCAGGTTTTCCCGCATCGCCAGCAGCCCCCCTTATAAGATTGTTTAGTTTAACTGGAGATAAGTCTGAGATAAGTGGTTAAAACATGTTAACATAATTATTATTGTTGGAACACTGAGTTACATAATGATATAGAGATTAAAGAAACATAGTGTACATATGATATACTTATCTCCCTATGTGATAAGATACTTTTAAATAGTATTCAATGGGAATTTCAGGATCCTAAATGGAGGTGCTGTACCATATAAGGCATTGTAAGGCCATATTTTGTGGGGATATTCCCTTACATAGGCCTGACAAAATTAGGCCTTATATATGGTAGGTACCTCCAATCAATCGGTTCCTGTTGCACGGCCATTGAACTTGTATCACATAGTTATTGAAGTTACACCATGATTTACCAATATTTAACCGCTGTGAAGCATAATGATTTACACCATTATAACATAAGTTACATTTATCAACACCAATATTTATCATTTACCAATATTTACCATAGTTATTGAACATAGTCAGTTATTGAAAAATATTAGTCAGTTGGGATTATTAGTCCTCATATATGGAAACAACATGTTCCAAAACACTAACCAGCAATGATTTACCATCTGGTTATTTAACATAGCTATGGAAAATGGTCCATTTCTGGGGGATTTATGCTGATTTACCTATGGACAATGGTGCTTTTCCATAGCTACGTTAAATAACCAACCGGTACCAACTATGGTGAAAACTATACGTAAATGAACAACGATATACCATAGTTACATATCATTTACCAAATCATTATGTAACTCATAGGCTGCTGTTTGAACATGGTTCTGGGTATATTATAATATGTCACTAAACTGAATCTTGCGGCCAAAAAAAGGGGATGATTTCCGGAATCCTAACTATGATTCCAGGCTTCGGGAGAACAGTGTTCGGTCGTGATCAAATTTGCCCAGATGCCTATATCATAACACCATAGGTATTATAACACCATATAGGTTATACTATTACACTATATATATATATATAATTATAAATAAAATATATCATAGTAATAACACCATAGGCCCGCTGTTTTGTTTTTTCTTCCCACCGAGGGAAGTGCCTTTCCAGGATCTCCAAGGGCGATCAACAAGAAGAGCGCCAAGCAGATCTGGCGATGGCCACCGGCCACGGGGTTTTGAGCATTGATGCGGTGAAACTTACCGGTGAAAATTGATTGTTTAATCATGATGTAACTCATTGTAACTCCCAAAACAGTTTTGTGAGTTTTGTGAGTTTTGTGCACAGAAAACAGTGTAATCATGTATTAAGGCCTGTAAATAGCATACAGAAAACAGTGGTTTCAGCTTCACAAAAGAGTGGTTTAAATCACGAAACATATGGTGATTGTCGACAATTTCTGGTTTAAGCATCAAAGATATGCTTATTTGGCCCTCCAAATATGCGAGTTTATTGTGGTTAAACCATCAAACAGATGGTGATTTTGACCATCAAGAATGGTGGTTTAACCATCACACATATGGCAATTCAGCATGGTTTAACCACCAGAAATTGGGAATTCAGTGTCCTAAATCATGTGTTGACCCAAGCAATCTCAAATGAAAGGTTTTACCAACAAACATCAGTGGGAGTTCGCCTTCAGGAACTGAAAAAAAAACTATGCTTCTTCTTCTGCTGGCTTTATGGGATTTTTGTTGACTAGAAACTCTGAAGTAAATGTGTTACATCCAGTGACAGGGCTGGGTACGGTACCACACATTTGAACATAGATTCTAATAGATGATGGCAAGGCAACACATCCAATCAATCTTAAATCAACACAGTTGCAATGTGAGGCCCCTCAGTTATAAGTTGGTTTATAAGCACCAGTAACTATAGTTATAAACAATTACATACAATTAACATAAACCATAGTTATTGGACTTATAAACCAACTTAGCTATCGTGGCCGGGGGCCTCACATTGTGAAGTTCGGTGAATCCAATGGCGGTTTTTTCGGGATATGGATACAGCATGAACCCAGGTGGTTACCCGGCCGTCGGTAAACGTTTACAGTTTGCGAACTTGAACATGGCCCAGTCGAAATAGTTGAGAAAAACCCATTAAACATGGTGGTTTTCCATAGCTATGTAAACGTTTACCAGAGGGTAACCATTTATTGTTGAGCCTGGTTTGTGAAAGACCAGTCGCGGCCCAAATGTTCATCATCCAAGTGGCCGCAGTGCCAACTTCGAAGCAGACAGCAAGGTTTGGTGCTAAGTCATAAATGATGGGCCGTGTGTCCTTGGGTGAGAAACGGTGAGAAACGGTGAGAAACGGTGAGAAACGGTGAGAAACGGTGAGAAACGGTGAGAAACGGCAAACAGCAACAAAAAAGTGGTTGCCACAAAAATTGGGTTCAATTGACCCTTGTTTGGATCTGATTGAAATTGATGATTAATATTGTTGAATAGTTTAATTCTCTTTTTGACATGTTTTTCAGCAAAACTAAGTATTGGGTCGACATGCAAGTGGTCTGGATTGGTAATGGTGTTTTTGAAGAAGGAAAATGTAAAGAAATGAAAAGAAATGAAAAGTCTTGAAAACAATGAACAACAAGAAAATAAATGAAAGAAATGAGAAGAAATGAAAAGAAATGAAAAAATGAAAAGACATGAAAAAATGAAAAGAAATGAGAATAAATGAAAAACATGAAAACAATGAACACACATGTGAAAAGACATGAAAAAACACTGAAAAACCATTGCGCACATATTTTTCCCCTGTTTTTATCTCTTAGGTTTCATGACAGTGGGATAACCTGCATTTGGAATTTAATTGAGAACATGTTTCTTGAGATCAAAAAGCCGTTCTTTTTTGTTTTTCTCTTGTTTCCTGTTTATCTTTTTTGACAACAAAATGCAAAAATAAAAATAATTGAGAAAACATGTTATTTTTTCTCAAACAAAAAAGGAAACCGCAAACGTGCTGCAAGGGTGTTTCTGGTGCGATGTCCTGTGGAAAAATCTGAGATTGTTTGCGCGTGGCCGGCGTTGTCAAAACAAAGTCAGTTTTGATAGGCCACAGCCTGAACTGAATAGAATAAAGTTCAATCATATGTTTTTTTTTGTATATGTATGTCTTGTTATTCTCTTTATTTCTTGTTTTGTCTCTTTATTTATTTTTATTTCTCTTGATTTATTTTTCTTGTGAAAAAGTGTATTTTTTACGATTTTAAATGTTTAAAAAAAACATGAACGAACCAAAGCATGTTGTTTTTTGACCTACTGCAACCTGCACCATGGGCTGAAGGCCTTGAAAACAGAGATCCAGTACTATGAAAGTCAATTGGGGTTTCCTGGAATGGGGGTACCCCCAATAGCTGAATGGTAAATCCGCATCTAAAACGGATGATTTGGGTCATTAACTAATATCTAGGTAAATTATAATAATTCACTAACCTGATATGTTGGGCTATCTTGTGGATGGTTCCCCAACCATGATTATAGTGAGGGAGAACAGTGAGGTCGGAATTAAATTTACCCAGATCTTTCTTTCGGAGACAAGACATGTTTGAAAGATAGAATTTCAGGGGTCATCTATTGGGAAGACGTCTATTGGTTTATAACATGTTTACAATATCCCAATAGGTATAATACATCTATTGGTTTATTGGTTTCTAAACATTTACACACATTTGAAACCAATAGATAATACAGATACATCTATCTTTACAGATCCAACATCGAAAAAAAACATCAAGCACTGGGGTGTCCGTGGATCTAATTTCAGAAACATCCCAACTGGGCTTCCGCGATTCGACGAGCCACAGTGGCTAAGAAAAAGCACGGTGTCGCCACAACTTTTTTTTTTCGAAACTTCGAAGAATCATTGTGTACCCCCTGGTTATGACTAACATAGCCATGGAAAATCACCATTTTTAATAGGTAAACCATCTATAAATGGGCCATTTTCCACGGCTATGTTAAATAACCAGAGCGTAAATCGGGTGTGCTTGAAAATGGGATACACCCATTTTATCGTATTGTATAATGAGGAGAATAATAATAGACCAATGGACACATCTAACTGATCTAACTGTATCCTTTCAAACCCATATGATCCCGTTTGAAATGCTGCCGTTTGGGTGTACCCTCCTCCACAAACCCAACAAAAAGCTGCTATAAAATCTGTGAGTCCAAGAGATACTCCACCACCGTAATCGAGACGCACCTTAGTTCTGAATGTGGAGTTGAAAGTTGGGAACTGCGTACCTTATCACTATATTGGATGAATGGATTATTGACTATGATCATCAACCTTATCCACTCATTAACAATCTATACTATAAATGTCTTATAACTTATATGTTACAAGTTATAAGCATATATTATCTATGGTTAACTATGGTTAACTATGCTTATCCCATCCATGGATGAACTGGTGATCAACCACTGAAGTTCGTTAACATCTGACGACTGGAGACCGACCTTTCGACCTTTCGCCCAGCAGCATAAGCCAAAACATTCCAGCTCCATACTGCTTCAAGATCTTGCTGGGATCCTACCGACGGGGCGCTAAATTGCTGGGACCCTGGGAACTTGAATCTCCAACGAAGATAGAAATGATAGAAATAGAATGGGCTGAAATAAGGGCTTTAATATGGTTTAATATGGTTTAATGGGGTTTTGTTCAGGTTATAGGAACTGATTATGATTCAGCCAGATCATATACAATGTATATTAATGTATTCTATAAATGTAAATGTAAATCCCTAAACTAAAAATAAACCCTGTTTGATTATTGATTACGGAGTACAGTACCCCCTCCCCCCCGCCAAAAAAAAATACCTCCCCAATGGTCAGCAGCCGAGGGGTTGGTACAAATCTAGGGTTGACTTGCCCTCTGGTAATGACTAACAGTTAGCAAGTCAACCCTAGATTTATAATTGAATTACCTATTATACATCATTTATAATTTAAAAATTAGTATAATTAAAAATACACCATTTATAATTGAACTAAACCTATTCAAACCCCATTGGTTTCCCCAAACAAAATGATCCACGATCAACGCAACTTGGATGTCTTTCAGCTTCATCATGACTTCACACTGATTTTTTTCACACATGGCACCCAAGGGGCACCCAATCTTCAAAACCCATCGAAAAAAAAAAACATATTCTGGTTGGTGGTATACCAACCCATCTTGAAAAATGATGGAGTGAAAGTCAATGGGAAGGATGACATACCATAGATGAAATGGAAAGTCATAAAATTCAATGGTTCCAAACCACCAAACAGTTATAGATCATTAAACATGATCCATCAACCATTGCCAACCATTACTAACCACTATTAACCACCACTAGCTACAGTAAATGACTTGTTGGATTCTCCCTATCTCCATGTTACTTGTCCTTGGAGTTGACGGTCACATCTCTCTTCTTGAAAGCTGCGGATCCCGTCTCCGCCAATTCTTGGGCATTTAGGCCTCCGGACAACAAATGGATGAAAAGCCATGTGCACGGATGGTAATTGTTTCATGTGTGGTGCGATACAACTGCCGAAACTAGGTGTAAGTATATACAGAATTATACAGATACATGTAACTACATGCGACTGATTGTGAAGGGTTTAGATATCCACAAATATATCAAAAGGATTCAAAAGGATTGGTTTAAGGGAATTTCGGAAAGCATCATCTTTTTTCACCAACTATACGGGTTTGCTGTAAATTTCCCATCATCCCGTTAAAAAAAAAAAACGCGCCTCAGCTGGGCTGCCCCCAACGTCGCTGAACATTGGACGAGACACCAATCTTTGATGGAAGAAGATCATCATTTTAATGATGAATCCGGACATATTGGTTGGAAAACATTGTGAAATGTTGAGGTAGATGGACAAAATCTGGAAAACCAGTAGTATTGGGAACTATGAAACATTGTAAAAAATGGGCTTTACAGTAATGCGATAGACCATCTACCAACTGGTGCAGGATTGTTTCCATCCACTGTTCATTGTAGTAGTTAGACATCACTGATATAGATCCCGTAGAATAGACAAATTCGAATACATACTGTATACCAAGAAACAATAAAACATACAATGTTGGATAATTGTATAATTATATGATAATTCCGACCACACATGCTTGATGATGTTCAACGACGACTTTGATAGGTTCTTCTGAGATGTTGTTTAACACTGAAATAAACACCAATATACAGTAGTTCTTCAAATGCACATTGTGTATACTGAATATACTGTATATATATACATTATTATATATATATATGCATACATCATAATTATATAGAATCATTGAATAAGTGAAAACAATAGGCATTGTACTCATATCAATATATCACAGGTATTTCTCAGTTATATCAGTTATATAGTCATTATTGAATTTGTTGGTACCACAATTCTTGGGTCGCGCCTTTGGGTTTCAGGAGCCTCTCCAAAGAGCCTCAGAGTTGCTAAGCTACTGTTCTGCAGGAAATCTGCAGGAAAGCCTATAATTTTAGTGTGGTTAAAATTAGTTAGACATGTGGCTATGAGTCAAAATTAGGTACCCCAATACTAGATGGTTATTACTATAGACTAAGATCTGTGGTCCCCAGGTTTTTAATTTTGACCCATCACCATGTCTTTAAAGACAAGAAACGAAGCCGTGGGATTGAATTTAAGCCATGTGAAGTTCCAGCGAAGGTGTGTCCGGGCCCCATGTTTGTTGCTATCTTTGAGCCACGTGTGATCGCCATCCAACCCCTTTTTTAGTACTCCTTCTCCAGGATGGCTATCTATCGGAATCCCTCAGAAAATGGAGTGATTCCGAAAAAAACATAAAGAGCATGAAAAATACCAATGAATCATTCACTGAATCCCCCCAAAAACTCACCAATCCTTAGTTTCTAACTTTGGGATGAGCAAAAAAAAGATTACCCTCTGGTTATGACTAACAGTTTGCCATGGAAAATCACCATTTATAATAGGTAAACCATCTATTTCTATGGGCCATTTTCCATGGCAAACTGTTAGTCATAAGCAGATGGTACCAATATTTGATGATCAATCCCAATGACCCTCTGCAAGGTGAGGAGCTCATAGTGCTTTTGTCCCCCTGGTCTCGTGCTAGGTCCAAGCACGTGGCACCTACGAAGGCGTTGGTTTTGGGGGATGACTGGATTGGTTTCATGGGGGATTTTCTATGTTTTAGATGATATGATATGGTAGGACTATATGATTCATATTAATTATATGATATGATATGGTAATCATATGGGGAGAAAACACGGAGATGGAGATATGACATGTGGCCGTGACAGGATGAATTCCAGAGGAAACCAACCAGAGGTGTCCATGGATTGATATGGAACATCAGCAACCATGGGTTTTACTTGGTGGCGAACTACCCACGAATCGTTTTTGTGGGTCATATCCCAGTTCTTTTAGTGGGATAAGGAGGGTTAACCTTACACATATGTTTTGTTTCCTGATGTTTCCTGTAAATGTTCCCATTGAAATATATCCAATTCCAGTATTCACAGGCTGCTTCCTGTACTCTAACAAATCTTGGTGACCCCGTACTCTCTCCTGTGTGTTTTGGCCATTTGTTCCTTGTCACAGACACAGACTTGAAGATTCCATGAGCCAACTGTTTAACCTTTTGCGAGCCAACATTGAGCACGTTTGGTATCAGCAATTCTCATAACTCACTAAGAAAAAATACTATCAGTTATCAGACTAATATATATATAATATCAGTATCATCAATTTTATCCCCATCATATTATATACTATCAGACTAGTTAATATAGTAATAGTATATCAGACTAATTAATTAATTAGTTAATTAATTAATTAAATAATAATAGTAATAGTATATCAGACTATTTAATTAATTAATTAATTAATATATATATATATATTAATACACTCATATACTATCAGACTATGTAATATAATAGTACTCAGTACGTACCTATGGAAAATCACCATTTTTAATGGGTAAATCCACTATACATGGCCATTTTCAATAGCAAACTGTTGGCTTTTTGTTAACGTTTACCAGAGGGTATCATCTGCACAAAAATGGGCAATCTGCACATCACTGACGGGCCAGAAAGGCCGCGAGTGGCTTCAGAAAGGATTTCCCAGGGATTATAACCCCATATCGAAAAAATATCAACCAAGAATCATATTTATATTTATTTATTATATCATTTATCAGTTATATCATGTTACTGTATACATATATATATATATATATCCCCATTTTTTTACGGAGACTGGCTGGATAGTGGCTAAAAACCCATCCCTGCTGTTGCACCATCTGCGTTGTGTATCTCCGGGTCGACACCCTTGTCCATGAGATACTCCAAGAGTTCTGACCGGGGAAATGCCATGTAAATGCCATGCTACGGGTTAGAGTTTACGGATCTGGATTGGGGATTTATGAGGTGTGAATAGTTCTATCACTATCAGTATCATATATGTTTATTCCAAAAAAATAATGAAGTGTTTGTTTCTATCACTTATCAGTATGATTTGGCTTTTAAATGTTGCATGTTCAAGCTAGTGCTGCAACATATGTAGAAATGATGCTAGTAACTTAGTAGATATCATTGATCTTTGTCTTCTTTGGTATGAAAAAACACAGTTTATACAAGTGTACCCTCTGGTAATTTAACGTAGCTATTGAAAATGGCCATTAATAGTGGATTTTCCCATTGAAAATGGTGATGTTCCATAGCTACGTTAAATTACCAGAGGGTAGTGCTACTGGTAGAAACACTTGCACCGACCAACGGGGACTCTACAGCAGAATTGCATTAACACTTGCTGTATCTGGATCAGCCTGGATCCAATAAAAATGAGCCGTGCCAGCCATGCACAAGCGATGAAAACATATGAAAACATATGAAAACATATGAAAACATATGAAAACATAAAACCAATAGAAGTCCATAGAAGTCCAGAGAAGTCCATAGAGGTCCATAGATTCCATAGATCATTGCTAGTCACAAATCTAACCAAAACAATCATAAAAACATAGCACCAACACGATTTTTCAGTGCATATTTCCAGATTTCCCCGCCTGGTTTCTTGCCAAGAACTGCCTGGTGTAGGACGGTGTTCTTTCTTTCATCCAAGTGATGAATGTTGATGTCAAAGTGAGCTAGCAGTTTCAGACTCCTCAGGTCAGGGAAGATGACGGAAGATGACCGAAAAATATACACAGCTCTGTGATTTGTTTAGAGTTCTTGCTGTTTTTTTTGCATGAAGGTATACACAATAATGGTCATATATATATATATATATTTATAGTTATTCATATATATATATATATAATTATATATATTTCTATTGGCCATTATTCATATGTATAGCCATTATTTGACGATGTTTCATTGGCCAATGGTTTAATCTATGTCTTCACCACTCGGAATGGATTCCAAAACAACGGTCACCGGCCCTTGATTTTCCGCATCGCTATGGGTTTTTCGGAAAATTTGGGAAACTATGTCTGGTTGGTGGTTTGAACCTAGCCCTCTGAAACATATCAGTCACTTGGGATGATGACATTCCCAACTGTTTCTGGAAAGTCATAAAATTCAGGTTCCAAACCACCTAAACCAGTTATAGATCATTAAACATGATCCATCAACCATTACCAACCATTACTACTAGAAAAACCACCACTAGTTATGTTCCAAAGCACCAAGCAGTATGGGAAAAATCATGAAAAATCAACCAGTGCATCTAGGACACCACTGGATACAAGGTGGTGCCCCCCAGATATAAGATGGTTTATAAACCCCATTAACTATAGTTATAGGTACCATAAACCATAGTTATTGGAGTTATAAACCAACTTAGCTAACTATGGGGCACCACCTTGTAGGTGGACCCAAATGATGGACCCCCCAAAACTGCATTGGACGCAACCGCAACGACGAGCGGCGTGGAATCCCCAAGAAAGGCGGACCAATGGGCGGCATTGCGGCCCTGAAAGTGCCACGACGCGACGGTGTCACATGATTTAACCATCAAAAATTAGATGATTGTTTAAATGACTTTAGATGACTTGAAAAAAACATCTAAACGGATGTCAAATCATCTAAAATCATCTGAAATCATCTAAAATCATCTGAAATCATCTAAAATCATCTAGAAAACATTTGCAAATCAGCTAAAATCATCTGAAATCATCTAAACTCATCTAAAAATCATCTAAAAATCATTTAAAAATCATCTGAAATCATCTAAAATCATCAAGAATCATCTAAAATCATCTAAAATCATCTAAAAATCATCTAAAAATCATTTAAAAATCATCTAAAATCATCAAGAATCATCGAAAATCATCTAAAAATCATCTAAAAAACATTTGCAAATCATTTAAAAATCATCTAAAATCATCAATAATCATCTAAAAATCATCTAAAAAACATCTAAAAATCATTTAAAATCATCTAAAATCATCAAGAATCATCTAAAATCATCTAAAATCATCTAAAAATCATCTAAAAATCATTTAAAAATCATCTAATATCACCAAGAATCATCGAAAATCATCTAAAAATCATCTAAAAATCATTTAAACATCATCTAAAATCATCAAGAATCATCTAAAAATCATCTAAAATCATCTAAAAAACATCTAAAAATCATTTAAGATCATCTAACATCATCATGAATCATCTAAAATCATCTTAAAAACATCTAAAAATAATTTAAAAATCATCTAACATCATCAAGAATCATCTAAAAATCATCTAATAACATCTAGAAAACATCTAGAAAACATCTAAAAATCATCTAACATCATCAAGAATCATCTAAAATCATCTAGCCCGACGTTACATTTTTATCTGGCATCACCGATGGCGACTAACCCGACCGTCCCCTCCCACCTTCCAGTCACTCACCATGACCATCCTGAGATTTAGGAATGGCCATTGATGGTCAAGAAATTAACGGTTAATGGTTGATAATGGTTAATAATGGGTAATAATGGGTCATATTCCACATTAATGGTTGATAATGGTTAATCATGGTTAATAATGGGTCATATTCCACATTAATGGTTGATAATGGTTAATCATGGCTTAATAAGATTTAATAATAATGTTTATCAATGGCCATTAATCATGGCTTAATGATGGGTGATAATTGCTATTCATGGCTCATAATGCGTTTAGATCGTTTACCCACCGGTAGTCAGCTATATGGCAATTTAAATCCCGAGAAATGGCGGTGAGTTTAGCTGGGAGAATCATCGAATTAAATAGGTGAGTTTCGCTATGTCTGATGACCGGAGGGAATATTCCACATTCCAGGAATGCAACAACAGCAAAACAGCACATTTGTGTGGATCTGAAGAAACAAAGTTGGGAAAGAAATAGGACATCTGAGTAAGGACACCAAACCTTCTTGCAGCTTTGCTGCAGACTTGCTTTGATTGCAAAGATCAACCAATTTATATGATTATGAATCTAATCCCATCCCCTAATACAAATCACCCCCCGAAAAATGGGTCCCACAAAAAGCGCAAATTCCTGAACCTGAACCATGGCAACCATGTTGGGGCGTGTTGATTTTTTTTGGGATGGGATAGCATGTAATGTCAATCCTGGATTAATAAACCCCAAACGGCTGGTTAATTGGGGGGTACCATTTAAGTATTGGATGAAATGACTATTGGAGGAGTACCCCCCTAATTAATAAACCATTGTTTATTAATCCGGGGTTGACATTAGCAAACACTAGCCGAACCTCAAACTACCCTCATCATTTTGCGACAAATCATCTGCAGGCGAACCAAGGTTCTGTTTCGGCTCGCCTGCGGCCAGCAGCCGCATCAGGGCAGTATGTTGCCTTGGCTTCGTCATACCCTGGGAAGCCGTTCTGAAGACTCAGGCGAACTTTCATATACCCGGCCTGGCAAACTAAGAGTTTGCTATTGAAATTTGTCATTTATAGTTGATTTACCCATTTAAAATTGTGATTTTCCATAGTTATGTTAGTTTGCCAGAGGGTAGTCAGCAAATCAGATTCACCAACAGAGAAAACACCTTTGGGCTAACATGGGCTGACTGGAAACTTGTTGCCCTAACTGTCCCATAGCAGCCATAATTCTTTCCCAAAGATTCCCACTGGTCTTGATTGGTATTGGCTTGTCCATGTTTCTACAAGATCCGCATGCAAATATGTACTGTATAGCTTTGCCTGAACATAGGGTACAGTAATGTACAGTACCACAAAATTCAGTGGTTTTTCATATTGTCCCCAATAATAAACACATGTAATCTTTTTGGATATCCCGTGACGTCCCCAATTTTTGGACACTATCCTGACCAGTTAGGGATGAGTCATGACTGAGTCATGAGTCTTTTACCCAGGTGGCAGCAGATTGCTCGGTGATTTTTCCATAGTTATGTAAACGTTTACCAGAGGGTAATCCCCATTATATATATCCCCATTATATCCCCTATATATCCCTATAAATCCTCATGGTATCCCTATAAACTTAGGTTTGGAAACTCTATGAATCATTTGAACGCAGGGTTTTCACCATTTACCCAGATGTTCACCATGAAATTCCACCACGGTGGGATCCATGAAACGTGTGCCCAGCGGCTGATGTTGAACTGCATGGAGCAGAGGAGTGGCGCCTCTGCTAAGCACCAAACAAGAAGAAATGGCACAGGAAAAACCACTGAAAGGATACAGATGGATGACAAGCAATACCCAGATTCGCAAAATATGGTGCTGGTATGTAAAAAACTGCAAAACTGGGTGATTTTGGGGAGCAAATGTTGGTGTGCATATTCCAGCACCATGCTTCGCATATGGGATGTGGATCAATATGGAATAGTAATATGGAATATTTTATACATTATAGATACATAATATAGTAATAATACGCGCAAACCCCCCAAGTTCGCCCACACAACTTCTCAGGGATTTTGAAGGAATATAAATTCCGATCCCCGTTAAACTCTACATTGAATTGGGAAGATCAACAAGGGGATTAGGAAAATAAACTCCCACCCCCGTTAAACTTTACATTCACTCGGGAAGATCAACAAGGGGATTACGCATATGAATTCCCACCCCCGTTAAACTTTACATTCAGTTGGGAAGATCAACAAGGGTATTAGGAATATAAATTCCATTAAATTCCCACCCCTGTTGACCTTTACATTCAATTGGGAAGATCAACACGGGCATTAGGAATATAAATTCCCACCCCCGTTAAACTTTACATTCAATTGGGAAGATCAACAAGGGGACTAGGAATACAAATTCCCACCCCCGTTAAACTTTACATTCAATTGGGAAGATCAACAAGGGTATTAGGAATATAAATTCCCACCCCCGTTGACCTTTACATTCAATTGGGAAGATCAACAAGGGTATTAGGAATATAAAATCCCACCCTCGTTAAACTTTACATCATGATGATGATGATGATTATGATGATGATGATGATGCTGATGCTGATGCTGATGCTGATGTTGGTGTTGTTGTTGTCGTTGTTGTTGTTGTTGTTGTTGTTGTTGCTGACGTCGTCCAATACGGCCCCGGGGAATTTGCTAGTTTTTAATAAACATGGGTTGGGGTGGGGTGGGGTAGGATGTTAACGTTCATGGTACGCTGCTGATGATGTTACGCTGCCCGTTGGGGTTGGGGTGGGGTGGAATGTTCACGTTCATGGTACGCTGATGATGTTACGCTGCCCGTTGGGGTTGGGGTGGGGTGGGGTGGGATGTTAACGTTCATGGTACGCTGATGATGTTACGCTGCCCGTTGGGGTTGGGGTGGGGTGGGATGTTAACGTTCATGGTACGCTGATGATGTTACGCTGCCCGTTGGGGTTGGGGTGGGGTGGGGTGGGATGTTAACGTTCATGGTACGCTGATGATGTTACGCTGCCCGTTGGGGTTGGGGTGGGGTGGGGTGGGATGTTAACGTTCATGGTACGCTGATGATGTTACGCTGCCCGTTGGGGTTGGGGTGGGGTGGGGGTGGGATGAATATGTATATAATTATATATATATGTGTGTGTGTGTGTGTAAACGGCTATCCATTCAAGCCGAAGTTATCCGAAGTTATTCATTTGTCGTCATTCACATGTCGTATTGAGCTTCGATCTTGGAGGCAGTAGCATCTCCCGGATTTCATTTATGTGTGTCAGTTTGGCGAGATTCAGTTTGCGGTAATTAATTTTGCAAGAATTCATTTCTGCGAGCTTTCAGTTTGCGAGATACGAATTTTGATAAATTAAGAACCAGTAGCAGGGGGCCAGCGCATGGCATCACGACGCTGGCCAACGAAGCTAGTGATGTCATGGAAAGCAGTTGGAGACGTCCAACTGTGTACCTGCAAAGAAGTTTGAAACTTTTGACAAGCTGTCATCCTTGGTATGTTTTGAGAGTCCTTTGAACTGCAATGTGTATCATGTTGGCAAGTTCACCCTGTCAGCACGTGTGACGTCCGATCTCGTAAGGCCACTTAGGTTCATCAAGGCGTATACATCTTCATCACCATATCGAATCTCATCGCGTTCCTTACGGAACCATATCTCAGTGTGTGCATGCCTGTTTGTGTCAGGTTACACACACACATATATATATATATGGATATATAAATATGTTGTATATATACTTGCATATATGTATATAAGAATCAGTGTACATGTCCAAGTATGCAAGGTATGTGTCTATGTCTGGTCTATCATGTATGCAACACGATCCTAACATACTGCTGGCTTCCAAGCGTTTTTTTTCGCTGATTTGCACATGGACTTGTAAAACCCATTGGAAATAGCACAAAATGGACACAAAGTGCTGTAAAACGCAAGGCATTTGAACATGGCACAAAATCCATGGTGACAGAAAGTGCCATAAGGGTTATCGAAATAGCAAGATGCTTGTTTTCAAAACAAACAAAAACAACGGGACCGCAATGGACGACGTTACCTTGTTGTTGTTGTTGTTGTTGTTGTTGTTGTTGTTGTTGTTGTTGTTGTGGTCGTCGTCGTCGTTGTAGTAACATTCAACGCACAGGTAGCTAAGCTGTGCGTTGCAAGATGAAAGCCATGATCATGGACATGTGCATTTTGTCCCACAAAACACAGTGCTTTTTGATGTTCGGACATGTCGTCGGCGTCGGCGCGGGCAAACTGAGGGGTTTGCCCGTAATCATAATATAAGATAAATCTATATCCCATGACGGATCCATGGTGCTGGTATATATGCTAACATGACTGGGGTATATCGATGGGATCCATGTTACCATATATAGCAGCACCATGGATCCTATGGGTATTATTACATGGGTCATTAAATGTCCCCATTGAACATCACCCAACCATTAGATTCCATTAGGTATATGGTCTATAATGGCTACTATAAGGTGATGTCCAATATACCCAAAATGGGACATTTAACAACCCCTGTATTAAGTCATATCCCCCCGAACTATCTGAACACATGGAATGTTCCGATACCATCCCACGGGGGAAAGAACTAAATGTGGACCGCATCTCTTGGAGATCGATGTCCAAAAAAAAACCTGCACAGTGATCTATTTCAAAGACGTTAAACCGGGTGTTCCAACATTTTTGTGGATGTTTATATCATTTTATATCATCCAAACTTATCCAGACTTATCCAGATAATTGAAACAAGTCCAGATATCGTAAAGTTTTATGAGCTTATAATGCTTAGAATCTTCGCATGATTTTAGGACAACGCACCTTTTTCATCACCTATTCATTCACGGAAAAAAACATGTAAAAAAAAAACGGTAACAAAAAACGTCGCCAGTGGGATTGTCCGCGGGCATGTGGTTTTCAACATCACCAATTCATTCCACCAGTTGGATCCTACGGGTGTTTCATGTTCTTCGTCGAAGCCATCGAGTGTTGAGGGGCCCTGTGTTGGTTTCACTTACAAAAACACATGCCCAGATGCGAACCATGGTGCTGGCATATTTACCTAGAAAACTGGTTGATTTTTGGGGTAAATGTAGGTAAATATTCCAGCAGCATGGAGCATATGGGATGTGGAAGTTAGACCAGTCCGGGGGGAAACCTCTCCGGAAAATGATCTACAAATGGGTTCCCCACATCTATTGGTAGCCAACATTAACCAACTAGTTCTTGTTGGTTATCCGCCTATGGTTAATGTTGGTTAATGTTGGTTAATGTTGGTTAATGTTGGTTAATGGTGGTTAATCAGCACACATTATCCACCTATCCTCAAGCTTTACAGAGTGTGCTGATCCGCCGAAACTGTATCAGCGCCTTGCTCATCTTTGACGGTCAAATCTGCAGCACTCTGAATCAGCGCATGCATGGCATCCTGAAGTTACCAGTCGCTGGTGCAAAATGCGCACTGGTAACCACTGGTAAACAAGTTGGTACCCTCTGGTAATTTGTTACAGTTTGCTATTGAACATGGCCATAGAAATAGTGAATGTTCCCATTAAAGATGGTGAATTTCCATATAGTTATGTAAACGTTTACCAGAGGTAATTCTTTGGATCTTTACTGGTTCCATGTTCAACCTCAGGATTTCATGAGAATTCACCGAAAAACATCCGAAGATTGTTGGTATGTTCCAAAGGTGTAAGAATTTCAGATGGACCCAGTTTATGATCAAGTTTGTCTGGCTGGTGGTTTCAACCACAAATTCTAAAAAAAATGTCAACTCAAAATCATCCTCCCAAATATCCGCAAAGACAAACGTCAACCCACCCACCAACTGAATTTGGAAGGAAGGGAATGGTACAAACGAATATGCAGGGATGTTGAACCACTGACTGTGGCGATACATTGATTTTCGACTGCAAAGTCCCATCATATTTGAGGCCAAGTCATGCAAACAGGACGGCAGACTCCACTTACTTGCAACATCTTGCAACATAAATATGTCAATGGATTGGTTTAAGGGAAAATTTACAGGAAACCATAGATTTTCCCATTAAATATGGGGCTTTCCTGCAAATTGTCCCTTAAACCAATCCATTCAATATGTCAACATCAGGATGTCCAAACCCTGGCCCTTTCTGCTGGACCAGTGCTGGATCCTGATGATCCTCCCCTCAAGATGGTCACCAAGGGGTCAGCGTGGCCCATCTGACAATGATGGTCCCATTATTTAACCACTTCGGAAAACAGGTTGGGGAAAGATCGTTCAACAAACAGCGTCATGGTCGGAAAATGTCCGGAAAATCTGGATGATCATCAGTTACAGGCCACAAACAATTATAAGAGGTTATAATTACGATCCATAACCAGCCATGAACAAATCTGGTTGATCATCATTTTCTTCAATGACCATTATATCCTGTATTATAACTACATTCTATGAAGATAATGACAATTATATCTGTTTATTCATTTAAATTCCCTTGGTTGTATAACAGGTTCTGGTTGGTGGTATACCTACCCCTCTGAAGAATATGAAAAACAGTTGGGATGATTATTCCCAATATATGGAAAGTCATAAAAGTCATGTTCCAAACCACCAACCAGGAAAAATGTTCCCATTGATACCAAAAGATTAAAAGATTAGTTTGTATCCATGTAAGATTGACATAACTATGGAAAATAACTATTTTTAATGGGTAAATCCATGTAAATCCACTATTTCTATGGCCATGTTCAATAGCGTTTAGTATGTTTACCAGAGGGTAAGTCATAAAAGTCATGTTCAAACCACTAACCAGAATAGTTGAATCAACTATTTCTATGGCCATTTTCAAGTTCGCAAACTGTTAGTCATTACCAGAGGGTAGTATTCATGTTCCAAAACACCAACCAGTGATTACTAACCATCATTAACCATCATTAACCATTATTAACCATCATTAACCATCATTAACCATCATTAATCATCATTAATCCAATACTAAACCAATGTTCCAAACCACCAACCAGGGTTATAATTACCAGACATACAGGCAATTTGAATTGGACCATCAGCCGAGGGTCGACGGATCCTGCTGCAGCTGCCTTAGGGATGGGATTTTGTAAGCGCATGTTCAAAGGGATTTTAATGGGATTCAATGAGATTTCTTGGTGATTTTATGCAGATTTAGCGGGATTCAATAGGATTTCATAGTGATTTCAGAAATTCAATAGGGGTTCTTTAAATGTGGGATCTCCAGTCGTCACCATGGGTTAAGCATACAGAAATCCATGGTGATCCATGACTTGGACAATTTGGGGGTACCCCATTGTAGGAAACGAGCTCTATGTATAATCAGATTATATACACATACATATCATATATATATATATTATATATATATGTGTATATATATATGTATATACACATATAATTACAATTATATATATACACATATGTGTATATATATATATATACACGTATGGCTATTAAATGGGTATCGGCCCCTAAATCTCCAAGTGGAGCCATGACATTTCAGGCTCTTCAACATGGTAGAAAAACAGACGCCGTCAAAGCGATAAATCTAAAAGCTCAACGGTGTTGTCTGAGGTTTTTTCCACTTCGAATTGCCATTTTGGGGTACTATCTGTAGCTGGTTGGTGGTTGACCTACCCCGAAAAATATGAATTCGTCAGTTGGGATGATGACATTCCATTCCCAAATGGAAAGTCATAAAACATGTTCCAAACCACCAACCAGATGTTTATGCCATGTTTCACATTGAAAAACCACACATTTTGTCTGAAGTCAAATTGGGGTACCCCCAACTGCAAACGGATGATGATTTATTTATCATTAATTATCCCATCATTATCCCCATTACAATTGCAAGTTGCAGGCTCTGCAAACCCCTTTTCAGACGTAAATCTCACATCAAGCTGGGTAGATCATGGTATATCCCATGAAATTCCGCAGTATATATTCCGTATTCTTCGGAAAAATGCCTCCGCGTTCCCATGGCTTTTGGTGGGTTTTTTCATCCCAGTGACCCACATCAAAGGCGTCTGCTTCTCAGGGCCCATAGCATCCACCAGACCTGTCCTCTGCATCAAGTCGTGCAGAAATTTGGCCTGAGCGCACCATGGGATTCCAACGGATCTTTCCAACAAATTATTGGGATTTTTTTGGGGGTTGAACTGCCCAGCCAGCGAACCATGGTCCACATGGTGCTGGTCTATTTTCTCGCCAACATGAATGCCCCCATATATATATATATATGTGTGTTCTTTGTTGTGTTCTTTGTTGTGACCCAGTTTTGCAGGTAAATATGCGTTCGCATATTCGTTCGCACCATGGTTCGCATATGGGACTGTTTAACCAAAGATGTCGGTTTCCTCATAATTCTTCCCAACATATTTCTACAGACGCGCTCAAAACTTTGAGGGAGTGTTGGGAAAATCACCGATCCAGTGGTGTTTTTAGAAACACTGTGATGAATTTCACCACACCCATTTTTTTTTTAAAGCTGATGTTCATGAAATCCTGATTGGAACCCAAGGCTTTTCGAAAAACACAAAGCAGTGGCTCCTTGGTTTTGGTCAGCAAGGCGCGTCGTTTCTCATGGCGGCCCAATGTAGCAAAGAAGTGCCATCAGCTTCACTCGCCTGCGCTGCGGTCCCGGGAAGTGAGATACACGACCAGTTCCTAGGAAAGAATAGAGGGGCTGCTCAAAAAAATGAGATGTATAAGCAATCACACATGATAAACATTGCCATAATCATCCAAGATATAATCTGTATATATATATATATACTGCAATATATCGGTATAATCATGTAAAACGGGATAATGATAGTCGACTATATAGAGATCAATCTTGGTTTGAACACAAACTTGGTTTGAACACAAATAGCTTGAAATTCTCACAGTTTTCTGAGATACCAAAACCACACGGACCACAGGCCCTTCCTTGCAGCAGCACCTGCCAAAAATGTGGAAACTCGTCCAGCAAACCTTTGAGGCGATCGAACTTGCCTCGTTCCGCCTTGGACAGTTGGGCCATGGGTCCTAAAAATGGGAAACTGGTTGTTGGTATACCTACCCCTCTGAAAAATATGAGTTCGTCAGATTGGATCATCATCCCAATGTTCCAAACCACCAACCAGGAAAGCTGAATCAGTAGATTCACTGTGAGTTTCCAACAGGCGAGCTGGGCGAGCTGCCAATTCGAAGAGATAGGCAGTCTCAAGCTTCGTCTTCCGAAAGAAGCTCCTCAGTGATGCGACCAGCAGGCCGTTGGAAAATTCGAACACCACCTTGATTCCCTATGGCTCCCGATGGTTCCCTGAGAAGTTCTACCCAGCATCACTATTTTGGAGCTTGGAATGGCATCTTCACCTATGTCTTTTAAGCCAGTTTAGCAAAAACATTGGTCTTCTTGGAGGGTTCATCCACCCCAAATAAAGTATTGACACGGTATCCATCCCCAAAGCTTCCCCGCAAGGACATCTGTCGGACATCAAAATGACCAACTGGAACCAAGGCACTCAATCTGCTCGTCGCAGTTGTCCAAATAGTATCCCAAACCTACAACGGGCTGTGTCTCAAAATGGGGATTGCGCACCCAGAATGCCAGTTTTCTGAGGAAAACAAGTGTGGCAAAGCCTCAAGAAATGATCATTTGAAAAGAATTAAGAGCCGTACGTTGCGTTTAAGGAATCTATTATCTAACAAGTTCGAAATACTTGGTTGTCCTAACAGGCATCCTAATATTTTTGCACAAACAAGTTTGAATCTTATTATCAGGAATCTATCATCTAACAGCGGTTGTCCACCTTTATATCATATACATCATCCCATATCCTTCAACAATTTAATACTCATACCATAGGCTTGCACCCAGCCTGTCCAAAAAAGCTGATCTTTGGGAATAACACGGCTTGATTCTCAGCTTTCCACTGGTTTCAACTCACCAAAATGATCTATCAAATGGCTGCCAATGAATGAAAAAAGATGGCCAACACTCCCAACCAGCGGCAATAATAGGCACATTGGATCAAATGAAGTGTATTCTGTATTCTCATCAACATTTTCGGATAGGCTAAAAAAGGCCCCAATCGGCCCGATTTTCAATCATGTTCAATTCAGGATGGTTCTGACAACGATGTCCCAATTTTAATCCCATGAAAAACCACCATTGTTTCCCATAAACTCCCACGAAAATCTCATTTTCCCCGGGCCCGGTGCCTCTATCACCGAGTTTGAAGGCAAAACCCTTCCTTTGCCCTTGAAAGCTTTGGCTGGGCTCGAAGCAGCGTGTGGCCTGCGATACATGGGCCGTGGTGCAGTTACCCTCTGGTTGGTCATAGCTCCAAGATGCGTATTACATGAGCTATGTACCCTCTGGTTATTTAACATAGCCATGGTTAATAGATGTATAACATTAAATAACTAGTTGGATTATAATTTACCCTCTGGTAAACTAACATAACTATGGAAAATCACCATTTTTGATGGGTAAATCAACTGTAAATGGCCATGTTCAATAGCTATGTTAGTTTACCAGAGGGTATTTCTCCAGATGTAGATATTACCCTCTGGTTATGACTAACGTAGCCATGGAAAATCACCATTTTTAATAGGTAAACCCAGGTAAACCATCTATAAATGGGTCATTTTCCATGGCGAACTGTTGAATAACCAGATATTATTTCTCCAGAAATCCAGAAATCATCATAAAATCATCATAAAATCCATAAATGATGCGCTTGATGGATGAATGTGGGATTTTTGTTTTGAACCATGGGGCTGGAATATTTGCCTACAAAACTGCATCACAAAAAAAATAAGGGGGTAAATGTTGGCGTTTATATACCAGCACCATGGAGCATTGGGGATATAATTTTAAATAAGAGAACATATTAGACTACAGTTCATGGATGTTCATGGGAGTTCTACACCAACTTATACCTGGAACCACCGAAAAACAGGCTGCCACCCTCCCTTCAGTCGAAAATCCACCGAAAAGCAAAGAATCACAGGTGGCGAAAGGAAGAATCTCTGTGTCATTTATAACTGGTTGGTGGTTGACCTACCCCTCTGAAAAAATATGAATTCGTCAGTTGGGACTATGATATTCGCAACTGAATGGAAAATAAAATTCATGTTCCAAACCACCAACCAGATAAGTATTTATATCAAGAGTTTTGAGATCTTTTTCTGCACTTGCGTGCCTTCAAATATCGCACTGGTACTCAAATATCACACTGGATAATATCCACTGAATACCCATAGCTCCTCAGCTCCCTCCTAACCACTGGATAGTTTGACATGATTTGACAATCCTCCATTTACCCTCTGGTAATTTAACATAGCTATTGAAAATGACCATAGAAATAGTGGATTTTCCCATTAATAGCATGATGGATCTTTCCATAGTTTTTTGTATGTTTACCAGGCCGGGTAGACATGATTTTCCAGGATTTTTCCATGAATTGGGGGATTCGCCAGCTAGCCACGACGCCGCGACGCTAACAGAGTCGACTCTGTGCGCGCCTTCCCTTCGGTCTTCAGAGAGGGTTCCATGTCAACGAAATGAAAATGAAGGTTGTGGGTCTATATTCCTATAATAAGGCAATCATATTCATAATTTTTGGGAATATTCAAGCCATGAATGGCTTCCTACAATGGCTTCCTACAATGAATATTCAATGAATTAATATAGGAATATTCAATGGTTGATAATTAGTCAACCCATTCATGGGTTCATACAATGAAGATTCAATGAATTGGTTCAAGGAAGATCGACACGAAACCATGCTCTTAATGATGCTTGGGCGCATAGAGGTTCCAACCGTAGATGTTCTATTCATGGAATGCTAGGAAATTGTAGGATGATATCTCAACCGTGCCACCGGGTGCCTTGACTTGACTGCTTCTGTTTCTAATATCTACGTTCCTAGCCAAAGGGTGCGGATAGCTGCATTGCCATACGATCCAAAACTCCTTTGGATCTTCACATCATTGCTTTATCTTTCTTCAAGTCAGGCAAAAAAACAAAACTAACCTCTGGTGGTCAGTCATGTTAATGGGCAAAACAAAAACAAACTATTTTTGATTGGAACATTATCCATATAGACATGTATGTGACAGGGTGCGGTGCCATTCCCAGCTTAGATTCCTGAAAGGTACCAGTGCATCATAGGGGTGCTGGTGCATCATGCATCATCATACTCCAACAACACCAACAACCACGAGTTTTGCGCCAAATGGTAACTTCTGCCCAGACCATATGGCCAATCTTAGATACCCTGAAAGAAACACACATGTTACAAAACATGTTCATTGATCCCATACACCTAATCATTATTAAACATCCTACAAATGGTCCCACATATTCATGTAAATCCCCTAGTTACTAAACCATGATTTCTTTGGGGTGTTTGAGGGCTAAACAGGGGAAGGAATTAGTAACTGATTAGTACATATCCATTTATAGTCATGATTTCATTTCAATCTTCGGTAGGGTAAGAATCGGTAAGAATTCATCTCTGGCTGGTTACAAAGGATGAAACTACCTATCCAGTTGGTTGGGGATGATGTTTGTCCAAAGAACGTGTGTACGCATCAGTTGACCAACAGATTCACGCAGTCCACCCTGAGCTTCTCACAGAATCTTAGCATGAGGTCGTTCACTCAGCACTAACACCTGGCCATGTGGCGCCCTGAGTTGACATGGGGACGGGGCTGACAGCAGTAGATATCTTGAGATATGCGTGCCAAACTGTCGATACTTCCAGGAATTATCATTTGGAATGCCTAGAGAAAGAGAACATAATGATACACGGCAAGGATATAATCTATTATATGTGTACCAAATAGTGATACAATACCAGCCAAAATACATCCTTCTTTTATTTGGCTGGCTAATCGCCCTTGTAGAATCACCCTCACCACCTTTGTGTCCTGTCATGGTCAAAAAACCTGAGTCGTCTTGAAATCCTAGCATAAGTGAAATATGGACAATAGGGGACAATCTTAGATTCATTGCAGCAACAACAACAAGAGGTCAATACATATATGCATAAAATAGTATAATAACAGTATAAATTAGTATAGTATATGATTATAGTACAACATAAAATGATATGATATATATATATATATATACTTAATAAATATAACACAACATACTAATATAATATACTATGATATATAATTATATATATAATAGTTAAATATAACATTATACAATATAGTATAACATACTGTACTATAGTATATATATATATATGTATAAATACATATATTTACATACACATCCAGAGCAAAAATTGTAGGCCACCCGGCTCCGTGCAAGGTGCCAGGCAACTTGGGCATGTCGTCCGTGTACTTGGCCTGTGATGAGCGACTTAGGGGACTTAGATTCGACTTAGATTCGACTTAGATGGACCTTAAATGGACGGATAAATTGCCAGCTGGGCATCGAATCATAGTTCCGAAAAACTGGAATTGAACAGCTCGGCATTACAAATCATGATGAAAACAAAATACTACGCATTACTGTATATGATTTGGAATTGCTGTAATTTATCGAAGCTTTGGAAGCATCATCTGAACCAAGATCCAGCAAATATAAGCAGGATCGAACTTGAACCATTAACAGAAGATGAATCATGAAATTTCACCAGCAAATGGATCGGGAGACAAGGATGATAAACTCCAAATACTCAGCTTTGCACAAACTCCAGAACGCTTTCATGCGAAACTAACAGCATGTTTTTTCACTATGTAAGAGCATTGCGATGGATACTATATATATATATTATAATTAATCAATATTACCCATGTTACCACGAATTATATACAGCCAACAAGACTACACCGAAATCCAAAAAGCCTTGCAAAAGGAGCTATATAGCCGCTTTTGGGAGCAGATCGGATAGAACGTTGGTGCTGGAATATTTACCAACATATGCGAACCATGGTGCTGGAATATTTACCAACATTTACTCTAACAATCACCCAGTTTTGGAGTTAACTTACCAGCACCATGATGGTCATGGTTCGCGAATCTGGGTACTGCAAAATCATGTTAACACCCTACTTGGTGGCGAACTACCCACGGCTCGTTTTTGTGGGTTATAACCCCAGTGATTTACATGGGATAAGGAGCGGGTTAATCCACGGAAATAACTGGGGTGAACTAACCCACAAAAACGAGCCGTGGGTAGTTCGCCACCAAGTACCCCGTTCATGGTTCGTTCATGGAAAAAATCATCCCAAAGATCTCCACAAAATCGACCTCCCCAGTGCACTGCGGCAAGGCTGAACGGTGCATCAAGGGCTGACCCACCTGAAACTTGCTGCGATTGCACGAAAACTCTTGGTGATGACGGGATGACCATCTAGTTGTACCAACCATGGTCTTGTACATAATGGTCAGTTGTAGCAAGCAGTATATACTAAGTGTTGCTTATATAACTATAGTACTTGTATGTACTTGTATTATTAACTCTTGGTTATATAGCTGTTGGTAATATGTGATCACGTGATCACTGTTGGTGATAATGTCTGATATGGTCATAACTGTTGGTGATCATGTGATATATCGACGATATAACTGTTGGTGATAATGATCAGTTATAGTTATAGTCACAGTACTTACCCTCTGGTTATTTAACATAGCCATGGAAAATCACCATGCTATTGATAGGTAAACCATCTATAAATGGGCCATTTTCCATGGCTATGTTAAATAACCAGGGGGTATATATTACTCTCCGTTGGTTATATAACTGTTGGTGTGTTATGTGAGTGACAAGGGGATGATCATTCCACTGTAGATGGTACTTTTGTGGTATTAAAAACGTTATTATTACTGGTTGTATTATACACTCGGTTGCAATACCCATAGGATCCATGTATGCTATATATACTAACATTTGGGGTATATCGATGGTAAATGTTACAATCTATAGCAGACATGGATTCTATATGATTCTATGGGATATGATTGTGATATATCACTATATATCACTATATACTACTATATATATAACTAAATATTACAAGACTAGTGATTCCTTCTAGGTTGTAAAATCACTATACATCACTTACATATACAAGGTGGAATCCGGGTTTGATAGTTAAGTTAGTGAAAGTAACTCCAATAACGATTGGGAGTATGGCAATTAGAACGAACTACAGTTCATGCTGTTGCAAACCATCTTATGGTTGGTAGACTAACTGTTGGGTTTATGGTATACATATGTATACATACCATATTTCACATATGGATACAACCGGTGAATCTTGGGTGAATTTGTGATTTTTCTGGATACATTACCATCTTTCACTAACCGTTAAAATCTTGCGGCCATTTGGGGATGATTCCAGGGTTCGGAAGAACAGTGAGGTTGTTATAATTTCCCCAGACTGTTGGGATTATATTCATTATATCACTAATAATACCCATTGGTGATATATCCCAAATAATTTACCCAAATAATCTGACTTACAATGCTAGGATTCCTGATCTTAGTTCGGTATGACGTTGATAGCTAGTCCCACTATGTGCCAATGTGCCACAAAATCTAGAGACAGTCATTTGTTAATCGGTTGAAGAATTACCGGCCTACCGATTATGATGATTGGTTGATAATATATTTACATTAATTTACATATATTCCTGTAACCATTGTGAGTAGTGTCAACCCTGGATGCAGCAAATGTATCCAATATCATCCAATCCCGTTCCTTCCGTCTAAGGATTGTGACGTCATGAACAAAATATTGGACAATTACTCTGAAAACGGAATTCTTTGAGGCAAAGCTCCAAATGTATACAGTTATGGCCCGAAATAGCAGTTATAAGTACTAACAAAACTCCATTCATATATTTATAGAATGTTATAATCCAATTTATAACCACTTATAACATGTTATAACTAATAGACATGACCTGATCACTGTAGAAATGCGAAAAGACATGTCTCTTTTAGCCCTAAGCTTCGCATCTCTTTGGGATCCCATTGCGAAGCAGAGGCGGTGTCGAATCTGCCGTGAAATCATCATTTTATGACTCCGTCAGTTGGGATGATGACATTCCCAATATATTCCATATAAACCATATAAATCATATAAAAACCATATATTCCAATAAACACCATATATTCTATATATATATATATTCCATTCCCAATATATGTAAAAATATGTAAAAATATCATTCATGATCCAAAGCACCAAGCAGATTTGCTTCAGTCCCTATTTTTCTGTTGACTTTCCTCTTGCCGTGGACCTGCTTGGGTCTAGTCCCCAGATTCGCGAACCATGACCATCATGGTGCTGGCATATAAAAACCTACAAAACTGGTGGATTTTTGATGATTTGTTCGGGTATATGTAGGTAAAAAAAAAACAGCACCATGGAGCATCTGGGGTCTAAACTATACGTCTATGCACTTCTAGAAGTCGCAGAAGTGAAGCTGCAAAAAGCAAACAAAGCAAACGACACGGAAATTGGAGAAGTGGGAACGTCAGTCCTCAACAATCCCATAGGATCCATGGTGCTGCTGTATATGGTAACATTTACCATCAATATACCCCCAATGTTAGCATATATACCATACATGGATCCTATGGGAATGGATCTCCATGGATGATAAGGCACCTCACTCCCTTCCAACTCACCCTCCTTCCATGAACTAGTGAAATCACGTGTCACCTGGGCTGATCATTCAGGTAAAGTTATGGCTCTTTACCAATTACCCATGACGGATCCATGGTGCTGGTATATATACCAACATAAAGGGGGTATATTGATGGGATCCATGTTACCATATATAGCAGCACCATGGATCCGTCATGGGTCCTATGGGTTATAAATGGCTATAACTTGGGCTTGTCATTTTATAAATTGAGGTGAATTCACCGACTGAGGTAATTCATTCAGCATCCAAACACCTCGGTGTTGTTCCGGGCCGTCGCACGGGAGCACGGCTTTCTTCTTCCAGAGGGGCATGATCCTAGCGGAGATATATTAACCCGTTGGGCAGGTTGCAAAAATGGTTCTTATTATGAATGGAACCATAATGGAATGGAATATATATATATATATATGGATTATATAGTTTTATATCATGTGGTTCCTGTTGGAATATCATGGAATGGAACCATAATGGAACATAATGGACTATAGTTTTTTTCACCAGTTGTGCCAATTTGCACAACCTATGGTTTTATATTGCCGAAAATATTCAGAGATTGACGGGCACAAAATAAATTAGGTGGTTTTCAACACTCGAGTAAATCACTGGTCCAGTTGCGCAAGAATATAAGAATATGGCTATGGATCAATACCTATCAATACCATTTTTAGGGGGATGAACATCCATTTACCAGCTATTTTGATGTTCATCAGGGGTACAAGGTTTTGACACACTGCCATATAATGGAATGGAATATATGGGTTCTCGTTAGATTGACCACATTATTCTCCTGCGGGAAACTGACTGGGATATCCAACTGTACACCAGTGAAAAATGAGCCTATGTTTTCATGTTGTCTCACTTCTTTGACTTCGTCCTTTGCTTTTATTGCATGATTTGTAGTATACACTGTGAGGCCCCCGTTCGATAGCGTTCAGTTGGTTTATAAGTCCAATAACTGTGGTTTATGGTATTTATAACGAACTAGTTACTGGGGCTTTTGTTAACCAACTTATAACTGAGGGGCCTCACATTGTTGTAGTATAGACACATTTCTCGTTTTATTGGCAAGACAAGAAACAAACACATTTTTTAAGCTAACTCTATGATCATCCCATTTCATCCGATATCAAACATACAAAAAGTCCCAGTCCATGGGCTATGATAATCCCCAAGCTATCCTATGGTAATCTAACAGTTTGCTATTAAAAA